CCTATGATAAGTTCACAGTTGATCCAACCACTTATCAGAAGTATATTTATTAAAATACCGTACTTAGATATTCTTTACTTTTCTGGTCAGTATTCGATTATGATCATGCTGAACTAAACAGTAATTTTTAAGCAAAGATGAATAGTGGCTAACAATGGAATGCAGGACGTGCGTTTCGTCCTATTTGGAACTCGTCAGCTGGATTTGCCTGCATCGCAGAGTTGACGTTCATTCCGGGATTCTTAAAAGCTTGTGACTTAAGGCTATATCGAAGCAATCCGCACAGGATGCACATATGCCAACATGAGACTGATCAATTACAGTCCTAAATAATAATAGGAAGATACAAGTAAAACAATACCGAGTGAATTTAAACAGTAAGTGACATAATTTAATTAATAACTAGAAGCTTATATACAATCTAAAATATTAAAAGATTTAATTGCATTAACTAAATATATAAATAAATTACTAAATCTCTTATTACTCCTTCCTAACAATTATAAATATGTCTATAGAAAGAAAACAACTTTTTTTAAACTAATTAAGAAGCTAGACCACCATGGAAAACCTGAAAGCACTGAACGGCCGTTTCATCTCAGTACGGGACTCCTCAACAGTGTGCATCCACAATCTCGCCCCCGCAAGATTCGAACCCAGGACCTATCAGTCTCGCGCGCGAGACCATTGAGCCGGCATCCAACGGGTGTTAATGTCTAGCTTCGACTAATCCACTGAATTGAGCGACACATTCACCATTGTCATCAGTGAGTTACTATCTTATAACAGACCTGGTTGAACTCCACTGGTCACTGCTTCTCACTAGAATTCCAGGATATACCTCTTGATCTCAACCATTGAAGTTACCATGGTATTCACAAAAACGCTTCTGATATTAATTAAGAAGTATTGATTTCTAATTGTATCAAGTAAACAAATTTAATTAATTAATTACTAATTAAAAGAATATTTACCAACTATCGAAAGAAGTTATATCTCTCCTGTTTAAACAATAAATAACTTTCAAGCATGAACTGGTTCTTCAACAACTTATTACATAGTCGGTCAATAATTAGTCGTACAGTTCAAAATCTATATGAATCTCAGATTGTTTCTTGACATAACCAGAAAAGAATTAAATAAATAAATAATGACATAGGACGGGTCAGTTACTTCATTAGTTAGTTAGCTATGACAATAAAAATTATCCTTAACTATTGTAAAATAAGACAGGTTTTATTATCTTGGTAGAGGTATTTTGTACAATTCAAAATCAGTTGATAATATCAGAGGAAATATAACATAATCATCAAATCTAATTTGATAAAATAGAATCAGTCCGACTTTAATATTCAAATATTCAACTAGAGATAAATCAGTATTTTGATAAAGTAGATTAACCTTAAGAAGTTGTACATTAAATCAATTTAACTTACATATGTTTAAGTTATAGAATTTAAATAGATCTGAATACTACAATGTCACTGGAATGATTTATAATTAGTAGAATAGTTTGAGTACAAACTATGAATTGATTGGACATAGCTTATTTTCTTCAGAGCTAGGAACATAACGTTGAAGCATCTGTTATATTGATTAACTAATAGCTGAGTTTCAGTTTCACTTCTTATAAGCTAGTCAGTTAAAATCTAAGTAATCGGGAAAATACTTCAGTTCAATGGAAGGTTTATAAACAACACTAATCAACTCTCTTGAAAAAACATAATCTAACAGCCAGTATCATTGTTTCTAACCTCCCTATTCTGATTGTCAATAAGTTCTTATGAGTTGGAGATGTTGTATAATTAATGTTTCATTAGTTGTAATGCGTATACATGTACCGAAAATTATTGGAAAAGAAAATTTATAGTTATTTTGTGGTTACACATATAATATGCCGTCTAATATGACATTGAAAGTGATCCATAAACAGCAAAAAAATGAAACAATCAATCTATACAATAAAATTGAATATTTTAATCTTAGTAGTCACTCAGGCATATCACCAATAAAACAGTACACAAGTAATCGAAGAATGGTTGTTTGAATTCCTTTTTTCATGATTATTTGATAGGACGATTTGATGACTTCATAAGCGCCAACTTCGGAAGTAAACAAAAACAATCTAATGTTATGTGTCCGTTAAATTACATTGTTTTTCAACCGTGAAATATTTTATTCACGTGAAATTTCGATCTGATCAATCATGATTTCAGTTATGGAATATATATATAACGATAACGTGGATTTCCCTGCGTGTATTATTAACCTAACTATACTACTCCAACAGTCAGCGGTCTCATAGACTGATTCTTAATTCGGCCTCCAATAACTTTCATCTAGTCTACTCTTTTATCAATTAATATCACACATCAAGGTTGGCGGTGGAAGGACATAAGTGGTACTCATCCTAAGCATTTCAGTTGATGAAACCTCACTGTACCACTAACCAATTTACCATCTTTGCCTGGTACTCTGTACTTAATCTCGACGTTGCTTACTCGGTAATCCCAGCATACTTAAACAGTGCTTCGAAGTCATTTATGATCAAATACTAATGATTTAGGACTATCCTGTACTTATTGCTCTTGAATATTAATTCATCGATAATCCCCGTAACAATTCGATATTGCTGTATACTGGTGGTTCTAACTGTTGTCCAATTCTCGTCACTACCGTTCCATCTGGAGATTGCCTCTGTTAATATACATGTTGACTTTGTTGGGTCCGCGGTTTTCCTGCTTAAACTCGACAATCGGGAACTACTACAAATCCTACGACCCAAAGAAGAACTAGAAATACATATCCAATGAAGATTTAGTGCCTCCCAAAAAATAACGTCTCTAAACTTGTTCCAAAATCACAACGTCATTAGACCAAAATACAATCATTTATATAACAATTTTGACACGTTAATCTCACATTTTGAGGAAAATACATACGATGAAAACGCACTGAATGTGGTTCACATAAACAGATCAAGGAAATATAATTGTCGCACTGAAAGTTCATACTTGTCATATTAAAAGAGTTTGCACTGAAATAACCCAAGAAATATTGATCTTAAAACGCCACGTTGATTGAAGTTCATATATGTCACCATGTTGGAAATTCATAATTAATTGACAAAAAATTATTGATCTCTATAATGTCATCATCTTATCTCGTCATATCGGAAATAATTTGTTTATTTTTACTAAGAATAACAAAAATAAGTCAAACAAAAAATCATATCTCTTGTTTCAAATTATATGAATTACGTTCCCTGGTTAACTCTATTTCGAAAGCGTATGACAATTAAAGAGACCAGGAAATAGAATTCAGACAGTTTAAATTAATGAGTAAAAGGTGTGAAGGTTTAAAATGTATTTATTAATGAACTAGAATAGTTTGATCTAATTACCACAAACCCATTTCGTGGTGAACTTTCTTTATATAGTGAGGACGTATCCTACAAATAGTATATTAACTGATTGGTTGATGGACCTCTAGCTAGTTGTTCAAAACCAAATTTATCTAATAACATTCTCAAGATTAAAAAAATTCTAAACTGATCTTAGGTAGACTGCTATTGAAAACTTAAGAGCACTGGACATTTGTTCCTTCCTAGCATAATACTACTCAGCAGTACCCATTCATGATCTCATCAGCGAGAATCAAACTTAGGACCTATGACCTCACATGTAAACACTTAACCTTAAAAACTTTGTTTACAAAACGTTATAAATCGTTAAATGAATACAAAAAACAGTTTCACAACGCGAATGTCTTTATATATATATAAGTAATTAGCTCATATCAAGTACCCTCTTAGCCTCATTTTTCTTTAAATGTTCACAACGACAACAAAAAACAATTTTATATCAACCCTTTAATTAACTAAAAACTCTACAAGAAATAAACTAAAAATAATTTTTTATTTTATTTTCAATAAGTTGAGATTTTTCTGTTAATTTTATTCTACTTTCATAAAAACTACTTTTCTGTAGAATAAATAAAACTTCTTGTCATTTTATCATGAAAACGTTTTTCATTTAATCAAATTTCTTATTTGCAAATGATAATCTAATCAAACATTAAATTGTTTACTTGTATCTTCCCGATTGTTATTTAGGGTTACCACTGATCAGTTTCTTGTTGACATACGTGCATCATGTAAGGACTGCCTCGATATTGCCTTAATTCGCAAGCTTTATAAACAAAGATGGATAGTAGCTAGCAGTATAATTCAGTTTGACGCATGTTTCTTCCTATTTAGGACTCGTCAGCCGGATGTACCTGCATCTCAGAGTTGATGTTCAGTTTGAAACTCGAACCCAGTACCATATAGCATGCACATATGGTCAATAGCAGTCCTAAATAACAATGGAAAGCTACAAGCAAACAACACCAAGTGAGTTTAAAACTTCACCCCATTCCACAAGCAGGTGGCTATCAATAATCAGTATTTAAGTGAATAACGCGATGATGTTTGAAGTGAACAGCACTGGGTTCAAGTCTCAGAGTGAACATCAATTCTGAGATGCAGGTACATTTAGCTGACGAGTGAGAAATGGGACGAAACGCGCATTCCGGATTGCACTGCTAACCAGTATCCGTCTTTGCTAACAAAACATTATTATGAATAGATAAATAAAAATTTTTGATGTTTTTTTATCATTTCTTTATTATATACGGACGACAGATAACATTTTGTATAAATTTAAGTTGAAAGAATAAATCCGGCTTATTGATTGTTTTTCAGTACATAATAATAATAAGTATTAAGCAGATAACTCCGCCTGTAGTTGTTCTATAGCCACTGCCGGTTTCAAGCCCGGTTAAAGGATAAGGGTTTTGCATGGAGTTATCAACTCTATTCCATAGAAAAAAAACCTTGCTAAAAAACGCTAGCCGGAATTAAGTAGTTAACAGAAAAGATAACTATTGAGAAATGAAAAATCAACAAATGCTAACTAATTCGTTAGAAACAACATTAATTTTGATTAATGTAAACTTACTAGTTGTTTTGCCGCTTTTTGGAGGTCCTATAATATGTAATCTTAGTGGTACTCTAAATGGTGGATCTGTATATTTCTGTGTATACTTCAAAGGATTTTTCATAAATAATCCACGAGCATTAGAATTCATAAACCAATAGATATGTTGTTTATAAATTGCAGCACACGTTTTAGCTTTAACTATAGGTAATGTTTCACCAATAGTCCCAGGTAATTTACTCAAATATTTCGGATTACCAACTTTTATATTAGGCATTGGAATAGGTGGAAGCCATGCATTTTGAAAGTATAATGTAACTGGACACCATCGACCATATGAGCTTGGAAAATAATAGCCATTAATTAATAAACGTTCCGCAATTTTTGGTGCAATTGGATAGACACGTTCAAATAATGAGTTACGGTTCTCTAATAAACTATGTAAGCGCTAAAGAATGAAATACAGACATAAATATGGCTTTGAATAAGTTATCAATAAATGTTTATCATTTTAAATTAAATACTGTTTATTTAGTCATAAATAATGTATGATGTAGCTCCAGTTCCGACAATTCCCAACGAGAGTAAATTTTAAAAAATTAAAAAATCAAAGTCGAAATAACAATACTAATATCGATGATGAGCCATAAGTAAAGAACATATTCCGAGAGAAAGAATAATTTTGAGAAAGTAAAATTTATAGAATAAAAGAAATTGAACAAAATTACTCTACTGTGATCGTATTTAAGTTTTATTATCTAAGGTCTTTAAATATAGTTCATAAACATTGACTAATAAGTCTGTATCCTTCCAGTATGCTTATTTCTTAAGTCAGTAACTTTGTAAAATAATAGCAACTTCGCCAGGTAATAATTCGCCTTTTTGATAACAAAGATCAAATATTTGGATAATAGGTAGGTAGATAGGTGTGGGTAACATGTCATATCTAATTTATACAGTTTCTGTTCACAGTTTCATTGACCAATTCACTATTTTTACTTACTATTTGACAACTGTCAATAACACTAATCACTATGTAAATCAATTACAAGTTAGAAATACCTTGAAGGTATCTGAGACCACATATTAACCAACTACATATGCCTTTGGTTTCAAGTAATCATATTTTACAGCCGTAGAGATTTAGTGATACATTGTGCATAGTATTTAATATCCAAAAAGACACCTAGCTTGTACTACATAAGGAATGGGTTGATAAAACCCTACTAATTAACTTATTTTCCTGTTGATTACAGTTTGTCATTAAATTAACAGTGCTAATAAGACTAAAGTTGGTGGAAGTACTCAACAAAATAATCTGTTTAACTCAATGGAGTGAAATAGGGATTCATGAAGATCTGTTTATAAGCAGCATTTAGATTTTGAAGGTAAAGAAAGACACTCAAAACTTCTCTCACTTAGAAACAATTTATTTGGAAGAATTTGTGTTTTGTCAACGTCTTTACTAGGTAGAATGTTATTAAGTCAAAGCCTCAAGTCGACGGAAGGATCTTCCAACAGGAAATTAATTTTCGGAAACTCCAATGATGAAATGTTACTCATATCAATGACAGAATATAATAAAAATGTTCATGTTGGTATTCATCATAGATATTATTCAAACAAGCCAGTTCGGATGATAGTTCACAGTAAACCCTTAAGTATTTGACAATGGACCCCAAATATTGAATTTTACCAATTTTTAATTGATAAAGGGTGAACCCCTGTAATTATGGATATAGAAGATTATGATTGGACTTATCAAATATATTCAAATCTAAAATAACAAATCAATGGTATTATTAGGCGTCTCACCCATACTTATTTTAGCTGAACCAACACTGGAAGTATAAATGTATGTACATATATACGGTATTCCTGTTATTTAAAATTGATGAGAATCATTCCGATATTAGAAAATGTTAAAGTTTGAGATTAACTGAGCTTAAAGATCTACTTCAGACAACATATTTTTAGTTCAGTAATATAATATACAAACAAACGAAGAAAACATCTGTGGGATCATCAATACGCGGAATGGTTATAGAAGCAGGAATTAAAAGACTAGATTTTCTCTCTCTTATTAGACATAGAGTCACAAATGTGGACCCAAATGTCAAGCTGTCCTTAGTAGGAAAGACAGGATAAAAGATATTTTAATTTGCTCAGTAGCATCGTGATTTATGTACCCTATACACCAAATAATGAGTTGGTTGTTTTGACTGGCATTTGTTGATGTATATAGGATAGAAGGGTCAGATCATCTGTGAAGTTCAAACTGTTTAGTTGCATACAACCTGTCCATTTTATTTTGTGCTTCCCCTCAAATGTCGAGGTCTTCATAATCCAGTCAACCACTAAAATAAAGAAAAAAGGGGGGAGTAGGCAACTTTATCTGACACCAGTCCTTGCTTAAAATGTGTCTGTCAGCTGTCCTTCATACACGACTTTGTAGTGTGGTCTGTCGCATGAATTCTGTATGACAATGACTATCTTCTCAGGTACACCATAGTGTCGGAGAAGAGTCCATGAGATTCTTCTATCCACACTGCTAAACACCTTCTCACAGTCAATGAAGTTGATTTATAATGACGAATCTCATTCAGTTGATTACTCAACAACGATCTGTAGTGTTGCGATTTGGTCTGTGCACGGCCGATTCTTACGGAATCCGGTCTGTTGATCTCAAAGTTGGGCGTCTACTGAATATTTAATCTGCATCAGCAGTTCTCCATTGAAAACATTTCCTAGTACTGACAGTACTGTGATGGCTCCATATTTCTTGCATTTGCCCAGATCTTTCTCTAGATCTTGGTGGGGTATCTATCTTTACAGTCTGTTCTTCCTTCCAAATCTTACTGAATGGAACGTGGAGCATGTTTGCGGTTACTTTTGTGTCTGACTTCAGTGCTTCAGCTGGTATATTGTCAAATCCTTCTGCTTTCCCGATCTTGATTTGTCTGATAGCCATTCTGATTTCTTCGATCGTTGATGGAATGACATCTATAGAAAGGGCTGTGTGTGCTGCTTCGATCTCCATTCCATTCAATGGAGCTGGTCTATTTAAGAGTTCCTCGAAATGTTCCAATCATCTGTTCCTCTGTCCTTGAATTTCAGTGATTGTTTTATCTTCTTTGTCCTTGACTGGTCTCTCTGGTTTACTATATTTCTACGCTAGTTTCTTCGTTGTGTCATATAGCCGTTTCATATTCCGTTCTCTTGCGGTTTTCTCCGCTGTCATTGTCAGGTCTTCTACGCATTTATGACTGTCAGCTCTAATGCTCTTTTTTACTTGTTTATGTGCAGCTTGTGCCTTGACTTTCTATGCTGTTGTTCGACTGTTGTTAATGGCTGTCTTCTTGTTCTTCTTTTCTTGAATCTCGTCTATGGTTTTGGTAGCGATCTACTTTGTATGATGCCTCCAGACACTTTGAAGTTAGTGCTTCGTTGATCCCCTTCCAATTGTCGTCCATAATAGTTTTTTATACTCATTCCACTCAGTATTCAATGTACATATTGAAAAACGCCTAATCTATTGTGCAGTAATAAAAATAATAGACATCTATAGTCTCAGTGATTAGGTCAAGAAAAAAGAAAATTAAAATAAATCTAACACAGAAAACTAATTGGATTCATCTTGATAAAATTGTGTGTAAGGATAAAAAATATCAAGTTTAGAGAATTGAACACTCCCCAAATAAAGTTCGTGACATTATTTGTAGATGATTTACTAGGATAATAAAGGTAGAACTTACAAAAAGCTTAGTCAAACATAACATTATTAGAAACGATTTGAATTATCCCGTTACCGATAATCATGACTGAATTTGAATCTGCTTTTGTTGGTATTTATGGGTTTTGTACGGATTGTCTTGATACACCTATGTTTTTATACTTTTACCCAAGATTATCAGCAAAGGGGTAATTCAAAGAGGTTCAGGTAGATGTTTTTGGCTGCGCTTCATTTTCTCAGATAGATAAATCGGTTAATTTAAAAGCCTTCACTGTCATTCAAAACAACATTATGACATCTATTTGAGTAAGAGAAAACATGAAATAAATAAAACTATGTAATGTTTTACTCACTTTAACAATTCGATAACGAGCCCATGTAATTTTACCACCAGCATTAATTTCATACTTTGGTATAGATAAATCATCAATTTGTTCAGATATTTCTGTAAAAACATCATTCGAATCATTAAATGTTTCAGTGATCTCTTCAGTTAATCGTTCTACAACATCAGCTTCAGTCTCTTCTTCTTCATCATCCATTTCCTCTTCATCTTCCTTGATAAAATTAAAAGTATTAAAAAGCATATAATAACCCATGAATAAATAGAAATCCTATTTTTAATTCATTTTTGTAGTGTTTGTTTGAATCTTATTGACGTTCAGGATTGCGATTGACCGGTCTCTTATTGACATATGTCCATTCTGTGTGGATTGCCTTAAGTTACAAACATTATCAAAAAAGATGGATGATGAGTAGCAGTAGAATCCAGAATGCGCATTTCGTCCTATTTGGGACTCGTCAGTCAGATGTATCTGCTTCTCAGAGTTGATGTTCACCCCAACCCAGTACTGTCCACTTCAAACGCCATCATGTTGTCCACTTATCCACTGAGTTCAAAATAGGACGAAACGCGCGTTCTGAATTTCACTGTTAACCACTAGTCATAATCCTACTTTCGTTCATCGATAAGTTATAGTATGAAATTCATTTTTATACTATCAAAACTGTTATTGGACAGATGTTCGGTGTTCAGTGTTTTGCACAATTCTCCAACTGATGGTAGTTTCAGATGAAAACTACTATCCAATCCTTCATGGAATTACAAAGTGTTATAAACATTGTATTTTAATAGATTAAAATCATAAAATGCTTCGTTTTTGATTTTTGTTTGATTTTGGCGATTTATCCTCTGACTTACAGTGTCACATCCAATTTATTAAAAAATACCTTAAGCAAAATGCTTTAAAACCGTACTACTCAAGTTTATTTATGTGTTTGTTCACTACCGATCTACTTTATCCATCACAAACCTAATCGATGTGAGGATGGGAGTTTTGACATCTACAGATTTGTGATAACCCAAGGATAAGTAGTGGCGAATACTGTAGGCTAGCAGTTATTTGCTTCGACAATGAATTCCAATCTTAGTTTACTTATTTTTATCAATTTGTTTGCATAGCTTTATAGCAACCAGTATTATATGTTTAAAGAAGTCTGTCAGTTGCGATCAGTGATAGACGATTCAACAACCTTAACAGACAGTTTTATAATCTAATGGATTCATTCAGAACACTCGTTTTAACCCTCTATCAAATTATTGTGCTCATTTCACCAATAGTTCGAAAGTCTAACATTTCCCATATATTTCCGTTTTCAGTGTCCATGTTTCATGTGCGGATGGCCACATACAAGGCTGACGAATAATATACTTGCTCTTAGTATGTTGATGAACAGCGGAATGGATTACATTCATACCAAGACTTTTCTTATACACGCTTTTTACTAGCCAAATGCTATATCATTAACTTCAAGTAAAATAAATAATTAACCGTTTCACTTATAAAAAATTTATGCCAATAAAGAAACATTTCACATAAATTCGTGACGTATTGATTTAAAGACTTGAGACTTGATTTCAGTTCAAATGTCACCGGTTCAAAACCTGTTGCATCTTTTTTTGGACAGCCACATAAACACTGTAGTTTAGAGCTGAGTGCATAAACCTGTACTTCGTAAATGAAAAACAATAAACGAAAACATAGGAAGGTTCAGAGTATATTAGAAGTATTAACATCATAACAAAACAGAAATATCTAATTAATGGATTTGTTTCGCTTTACAACTTTAAAGGAAGTAAGAACGACGGTCAGTTCACTATATTTCGTTGCTTTCTCCTCAGTCACATACAAGCTAATAAACTTCATTGTTTCCAACTACGACCATAATGTTGAATTAAAAATATCGAATAAAATGCGGATTTCGTACAGTTTGATTTCAAATACATTAATCAATAATCATGAACTGATCTAACCAAGGCCACCATTTTCAATCTATAAGCACTGGACTGCCGTTTCGTCCCGGTATGGGATTTCTCATCAGAGCGCATTCACGATCCTTCACATTCAGATTCACAAGTGAATATTAAACCTCTAAACTGCTGAGCTCGCATCTAACGATGTTAATGTTTAACCTCAATCATTTAAAAATCACTCAACGAGTGGACAGGTTTTCTAATTTGAAAAAAGGATTATCATTGAATAACGCTAATAATTGTAATGATGAACTTACAGCAAATTCTTCTGCCAGCATTTCATCAATATCAACTTCATCCTCCAGTTCTTCATCTTCTCCAACATCCGGATCATCGGAAGTTTGTTTCATCTACCAAAAAATTGAAGAAACTTAAACAAACTTATCTACAATTCAGTCAATAGAAAAAAGTAACTCAATTGTAATATACACTTCATCCGTAGTGGAATAACATCATGATTATCGTATTTAAGAATTCAAAATAGTTATGAAATGAAAAAAATTGAAATACAAAGCATTTTTAAAAATCTTCAGTTGAAAATTGAAATAACGCTTGTTTTTCTCCCCTAAACTAATGGGACACTAAATTGTTTGTAACAAACAACGAACTATTTATCTGCGTGCACAATTCACATGCTTTATACTAGCTGCCTAGCCAGGGATCAATACAACCCAAATCAAGAACGAGTGATCCGCCCGACTAGGACCTGTACTATTAACAATCGACCATCAAATAAATACAAGGAAATATACGTATGACATATCAAATACCTGTTAGACTATTTACTAGTCTCTCTAGGAAAACAATCAATCCCTATTTCCGCTCATCCACCCGACAAAAGTAATGTTTATGTGGAAAATATGATCAGTCATCATCAAAATGTGACTTATGCAGAATATTGTTCTATATCAAGACAGGAAGTCAGTAATGAATATGTTACATTATGAATCAACTACAGTTTATGAATACATATTCACAATAAACTACTTTACAGAGGTTTTACAATGAACAGTGATTATTATGTAAACTTTAAAAATCTTCATAATATGAACTAGAAAAGCATATATGAGCGAAATATATTGTTTTTAATTAGATCTTCATCAAGCTTTACTCTAATATACTTTGAAAATTTATAAATTTAAACCAGTCAGTACTTTTGTTAAATATATTGTTCATTAAAGTAATGTAATATATTTCCTTATGAGTGTTACATTTTAAGAATCATGTTGTTTGCTTTCCTTAATAACATTAAATGCATTGGTAAAACTAGAAACACTTAAAAACGTTGAATGTTGAAACTTAATTCTTCACACTTATGAACTCTCTCTCTCATAAAGTAAGTGCATTTTATCAAAATGTGGAGTTTATGGTTTGTACTGTAAATCGAATAAGGTGAGGATGAATAGAAAAGAAAATTTGAAGGAAGGAGTCAAATATAATCGTTATATACCAACTCAGTCAATCAATCATTCAGTCATAATGTATAAACTGGTACCTACGTAAATCATTTCAAGTTGTCATACTCCATCAAATTAGCGAGATAAAATTATCAGAGTAGATCTCAAAGTAGCGAAGGTACTAATAATATTAGTGGTAAAATTAAGCATCTAAGATACGACTCAAGAAAATATAAATTAGCGGAACTAAAAAGGTTTAGAATCTGGAAGAAGACAATGACTGAATACACCTGCGCCGTTCTAAATGATTTTGAGTCATATCACCCGGTCTCTAATTAGTGATAACGGTAATCATGAGTACGATGAACAATTAGTCTACACCTGATAACATAGTTCAGTTCGACTATCAGGGTCTTCATAGACTGATGCCATGTTTTGATTTAGTCGCCCTCAGCTTTCTTTTAGTTTACTACTACATCAGACATCTCACATCGAAGTAGACAGTGGTTGGGTATATGTAACACATGTACCAGACAACTCAGTTGATAAAAATTTACTATTAACAAGTCATGTAATTTTATTTTTCATGTTGAATAATCAACTGTACATTTCATTAGAGCCAAATATGTGTACATACGTATATAACATAATTACAATTTGGTAAGACTATTAGAAAGACTACATATATTGTAAAAACCGTGAAACTAGTGATATTACAATTTCAACCAAATACCTAACAAGATAAAATGGATTCTTGAAATGTAACCAGATTCTTTCAAAAAATAAAATTATTGATTGGAAGAAAATCAGATATGAGAAACCCAGATGAAGTTATAACATTCTAAATGAAGTTATTCTTATACACTAGTGGTATATATATATACCAAATGAGGATTAATCGTATTAAGAACGAATTCACATGTAAATAAGTTCATAACATGTAATTAGAGATCTTACTCTCGCATTTTCTCTCTTCTCTTCTAATTCCTTAAGTATTTCCGACCGTCTTTTGTCCATGGCCAATTTCTGCAAAAATAAAATAAGGAAAAAATTAGTTTTAAAGGAATCTAAAAAACGATAGATCAATAGAAAAAAATACATAAGTTTCTTATAGGATACTTTTATGAATTTGGATATATAATTGTAGAATTTGAAGAGAATATATTCTTCGTCCATAGTATTTGTTTATTTATATTTAGTTCAATCACTGGGACATTAGGTAATATTTTATTAGTCTGTTTTGGTTTCAAGTGGTGATAAACTTGTTATTTAGTATTAAATGTCATGAAATGAATATTATTCATCAATGCGACTATTCCAAACCGTGATTAATTCGAAGTTCATTTGAATGTCGAGTCATTCATCAGATATCCAACAAAGTATTCAAATGAATATTGTTCATATAGGAAATCGATCATAAGTTTATACCTAATTATTTACTTATTTATGCATACTGTGGAGTAAATCCTAAATTTTCACCTATATCTGGTCACAGAATGTAACAGGTGATAGCATTTTGACAATTTGGAAGTAATATATTCATTGGTCAGAGACAATATTCAGGAAACAAACAAGTCTAAATATGAAGATGAAATAGGTCAACTGGATTTGTATGACAATCAATTTGTTTTAAATTAAAACTAATAGTTTGTAACAAGATTCGTTATCAAAGTAAGCAAGCGGTAGCAGTCCAATCCAGAGGACACAGAATTTAGTAAAATTGCTAGTTTAGATAGTTTATATTTGTTTAGAAAGCACTAATTTCTCATACTACTAACTTTTTTGGCAGTTTTCCATTCCATCAATTTAGCTGCATTCTCGGCTTTTTTTGCCATCAATTTACGCCATACCTCCAGTCTAGGTGGTAATAATCTGGAGACAACTTCGTCAGCTTCAGTGGTTAAAAATATTGCATAATCAAAAAAATAGTTTGATGTTACTAAAAACTGAAGGTCTTCTACACTTTGAGGAAAACCATCCAGTATGAAACCAGTCGATTTATATGGTTCTTGTTTCCAAAACTTCCCAAGTAACCATTCTAATGTATCGTTAGGTATCGATGTAGAATTTAATAGATATTCATAAACATTTGTTTCATGTTCATCTAACAAAAGTGATTTATCTGACTCGTCTGTTATTTCTGTTAAATTTGGCTTTTGTATTACATTCTCTGATGCTTCTCGTTTCTCATCATTTTCGTTTGCTGACTCTTCAAGTCTTTTATAATCAAGAGAAAAAGAATAAATAGAACAGTATAAATCATAGACCGAAAGACAATGTATGTTTGTTTTACATTAAAGTGTGTGGTGCTAAAAGAGTATAGAGTCTCCTGACTTTTATCCAGATCGTTAGAATGAAAAAAAACAGTCAAAAGAAACTATTGCATTTTTCTATGAATTATTATTGCGAGTAATCAGATAACTAGTGAATAACATGCTTTGTCATTCTTCTATTTAGCTTCTATATACCGGCAAAATAATTATTCTCATTTTATGTAAAAATGATGAGATTATAATTTATGGACGACCAGTAAGCGATGCTAAAGTGACCTTGAGAGTGCCTACCTACTTACTGAGGTTAACTGATGGTTACAAAGCAGTTTGAAGAATAACGATTATGATTTACAGTTGAGAGTTAGGGTTCGGAATTATATTTAGGGTTTTCATCACGAACTGACATCAACTATAATGCCAAGATTCTATTTAGCCAAATGGGTGAATGAATTTCGCGGCGAAGTCTAAGATCTGTTATCCTCAATCTGATTGGTTCGTCCATAAATTGTAGTCTTACCCTAAAAAATTATGAACCCTTTAAAACGACCATTTTTTATACAATCTCAAGCTCACCGTAACAAACTATTATATAGTCAATGTTTAAACCAGTTAATCAGTAAATGGATTCAGAAAGCAAAGTGTATTCTATAATTCCCGGTTATTTTGTTAACAAAACATCTTTCAACATGTTATCCATCATATTCACGCAGTGTAAATATAAAAGAAGCGAAACTATTGAATATTTCATGAGAACATATACACTAGTTCTATTATGACACATTGTCTATGTTTATCATCTTCCTAAACTGAATTGAATACAATTAATTGTTTGTTTGATGATTATTATCTTTATCAGTCTCTATCGTAATCTAAATGTTTACTTGATAGACGAAATAAAACAGAGAAAACTTCTTAGATTCATCTATTCATTAAAAGTGTTGTGGAGATCCAGAAAACTTCTCGAACAAAGCCAAGAAAGACTGAAAACACTGGGAACGATCTTATACAATCAGCGTCCACTAGAAGTTTTGCCAGAAACATCTAGAAGTTGAAAAGTCACATTTCGAGTTCCAGATTGGATGATTACTACATTGCTACTATGTTCAGTAGCATTCTAGAATTTTCGGGAATACCCAAGAACATCTAAAATACTATAAAAACCCTATATTTTCTGTACATAAATGAACCTTCGGAATAAAGTGTTTCTTGCATATTTTGCGACTTCTTTTTCGTGTTCAAGTCGTTATGTATTTCCAGCTTGGAGGTTACTAAAAGAGCTTAGGAATCGAATATAGCGTTCAATTAGCCAGACTTATCAAAAAGTAAGAGTAATATTTTAAAGAAACTAAAAAGGCACTATAAAAAAAGAATTATTGGTACTGTATTTTTCAACTTGTAATATTTAAAATAAGCTTAAGTACAGTGATACTAAACATGAATGTAAGCAGGCATATACGAATTTGTTATTAAAATCAATTTTTATGAAATTTCATGTAAGTACTAATAAATACTACTCATATAAATAAATGATGATATAAAATTTATAACAACCGTATATATTCTATATCTTACGGAGGCAATACAATATCCGGTATAGGTTCTTGATCTGCATACTGTTTACCAATCTTCTTACCAAGTTTTGGAAATGTTATCTCTTGTAATAAACTTAAGAAATCAATATGTACTAGATTTAAATTCAATGCTATTTGACGACTGTGCAAAGACTTCCCTGTACCAGTTGGTCCAAGTATTAAGATTCTTGGCGGTGGAGGCTAGTGTTTTGTTTGTAGAAAACAAACATTTATATAAATTCTCTCTATTATTTTCAAATTAATACATATATTATTATAAACTAAATGGATAATTGGAGAAAAAAACAGTTTACCAGTTCCTTCAGAACTTCAAGAATTCAAGAATTATACGTTTTTCCATGCACTGTTTCTAAATTACCTTGAAGAATTACTTACCTACTTCTGTCTTTTAACTCCATCTGTAGTTCTTCTAGAATTACTGCTGGTCCCAAGCCAGGGTAAAGGAGGAAGGTTTAGCATAAGTTCAGCAACCTTATCCCGTAAAAAACAACCCTGCTAAAGAAACACTTCTGTCTCTTTAAAGGAATAGTGAAAGTGGCGGAAACAATTTACTTTGTTAATGACTCATACTTATCAGTGTTTAATAAACAGACAGTTACATTTGAAAAATTTTTGTAGCAACACTTTTCAATGATCATCTACAATGCTAATCAAAAATTTAATTGTAACTGTGGGTTTTTTTTACTAAAACTAATCCTAGCAATCAGAAACGAGTTCAAACTGACAAGTTAGAGTTCATAAAAGTTAATGAATATATCAGTTAGACATCTGAATTGAACTAAACATTTTTAGCGTATTTATTCTAAAAAGATTAGAAACTGATTAGCATCTACTTACTTGACCTTTGTCAGAAGTAGTAGCTTAGGCGTTGAACTAATTTTCTTTTAGTAAATAGCTCAAATTTCCAACTTCTATTTCATCTAATTTCATTTAAGCGATACACTTTTCAAACAATATGTACTGGGTATACGAGTTACGTTATTTATTGATTTTATGAATAACATAATCAAAAGTCAGAAACTAAAAAATGTTAACCTTTCTATTAATTAGAAATCGATATAGAAAAATAAAATATAATGTCATGTCCAATATGTTGAATAATATTGTTCAGCCAGTGATATTCATCATCCAAAAACATACATCAACGATTTTTCAACATTTATCGATAGCGAGACTATAATTTATGTACGAACCAATCAGGTAAAAGATAACAGGTCTAAATAGAGTTTTGGCATTATAGTTGATGTCAGTTCGTGATGAAAACTCTAAATATAATTCCTAACCCTAACCGTAAACTGCAAATCATAATTTTAGTTCCTCACGCTGGTTTACAACCCTTATTTGATCCTAGTTATTACGTGAACACTCTCAAGGTCACTTTAGCGTCATACAATGGTCGTCCATAAATTATAGTCTCACCCCATTTTTGTTTAAATAATAAGTAATCATATTTTAATATTGAGTATCCTTGGTTGCACAATAGTTGCATATTATAGGATAATCGAACAATATAGTGTAGTATTTAGTTCTGTTGAAATAAGTTTGCATTGAAGAAATTATAAAAGATCTGTTTCTTCTCAGTTAAAATTTTCTCAAACTCAAAACACTATTACTATTATTTCTGAAGTTTAAACAGTAAAATGTTATAGGATATTATAATACGTATGATATTCCTGGTTAGCATTTTTTAGCGAATTAGTTTTCTACGGGATGGGGTCTTCAATTCCATGCCCAACCCTCCTGCTTTACCCAGGCTTTGGACCGGCAGTAACTCTAGAAGAACTACAGGAGGAGCTGAAACTTGAAGAACTACTACAACCATCATCAAAAAGTTACAAGCATTTATAAATAGTTGTCTACGCAAGATACTTAACATCCATTGACCGGATACCATCAGCAACAGCCTTCTGTGGGAACAAACCAGCTTTCAGCTTAAGAGGAAATTAGGAAAAGACGATGGAAATGGATAGGACATATATTGTGGAAATCACCAAACTGCATCACGATGCAAGCACTAACTTGAAATCCTGAAGGGAAGCGGAAAGGAAACAGACGGAAGAACACACTGCGTCGAGAATCGGAAGCAGATATGAAAAGGATGAATAACAACTGCAAAGGATTGCCCAGGACAGGGTTAGATGGCGTGTGCTGGTGGGCGGCCTATGCTCCTACACGAAGAGTAACAGGCGTAAGTAAGTAGTGATATTCCTGATCACCCATCTAAAAGAATGGTTTTAGTGTAGTTTATATCTTTGTTAAGCAATCTCAGTTTATGAAGTTTTTAATTAGTTGTACTGTTACCAGAAAAATTTCAAAAGAAATATTCAACTGTTTGTTAAAATATATCAATATTAAACAGAACAAATGAATCTATTGAATAATCACTGATTCTGATGGGTCAGTAAATTAATTTCATGAACATGTAAATTAAATCACAACATAATACGATGATTTATCAAACTGACCAAATATGTATTATATTGGTTAATATTCAATAACTGATTATTGTAATTAATCTAGAATATAAGAAAGTCAGTGAATAAATGAAAAAAACCAATGCAAACGCCTACGATCATAGTAGTTAATGAAAATTTTTCTGATCTAAATGCATTTTCTAGAATTTACAAATATGTGATGATAATAAAAATGCTAAAATTCAATGAACAAAAATTCAAAAATGTTGTTGATATAACTTGTCAGTTGAATGCTACTTGTTATATCTGGTCATCGCTGATTGTTATGTCGGAAATGCTTATCATTTATACTCGAAACAAGGGACCTCCGCAATTCACACGACTCGAAAGTAAGAACACAAAGACTGGTACAAGTGAATATTTGTTAACCCCAAAACACGACGACAACCCTTATCAAAAATACACTCATTTATATATTGATTCGCACACGCATTTTGATTAATAGTTATGATGAAATCACATATATTAAAAATACTTAGTTATAACAAACCGCATACTGAGCATGGTTCATGTCAATTGAATACAAGAATATCATATATTATACAGAATAAAATATCATACGAGAAAACAAAATCGAATACTACTACACTGAGTAATCATCACATTGAATCAGAAAGGAAGTAATGTTGAACATAGCTCATAATGAGTAAATCCATCGAATTTTGATTTTTCTTTCCATCTTATCAGTTGTATCAATATTTTGCGAAATATCCTAACAAATTGACTTGTAGTAATAAAGCCTGGAAGCACTTAATGGCCGTTTCGTCATAGTGTGGGACTTTTCAGCAGTGCGCATCCATGATCCAGCACGCGGGATTCGAACACAGAACCTTCGGTCTTTCACTCAAACGCTAATCATCTAAACCACTGAGCCGGCATCCAACGGTGTTAATACCTAACTTTAATCAATCCACGAAATCGCGTGACCATCTTCCATTTTCTGAGGTAGATATATGTCTCTACCTGACACGAATTAGACCCCACTGGTCACGGCTTCTCACTAGAACTCCGAGAATTCCCTCACGAAATTATTCACTAATGAGCGCATGATAATTATCAGTATGGGATTGTGGAAATTGTTAAGTTTTCGATTGAGATCAGGATCATACTGATTATATTAATAAACAACAAATCAAAGAATTCTGTTAGAAAACAGAACTCTAACTTAATAATAAAAAATAAATGTTTCTTGTATGATTATTTTCATAGATGAAAATGTTTTTCTTAAATACAAATGGAGTCCATCCGTCAAAAATATTTGTTGATTAACGTGGTCTCTCCATGATCTGTAACTTATTGTGATGTATGCTACTTATGTTTGCCGATCTAATTAGTATTTAACAACAGTCGGAAGTGAAATGCTTGCAAGTAGAAAGTTAAAAAGATTGAAATTAAGAGAAGAGAGAAGGGAACTGAAAACAACAAAGACAACAACAGGGGTGAAGGATTAATGAAGCTTGTAAGAGACAATTTAAAGATGTACAAATGGTGTATTTGATGCATGGTTTTCACATTTTTATTAAACCACTGTGTGATTGTGCATTAAACAATGAATTGGTATTCCTCACCTGAGTTCTCATTCATCCCATCATTACAAAGTAGAATAAAAGCTTGTTAATTGAAAAATATCTACAATGAAGGGTGTATTTTAATCTGTACATTTAGTAAGCTATAGAAAACATATTTAAACCATAGTCATAGTGATATCATTCACAAAACCTAATTCAAGAGGTATTTTTGTCAGTCACTATGAATGATTTGGTAACAGTAGTGAAAAATTCACTTGATGTTGTTTTACTTGTATCTTCCCATTGTTATTTAAGACTGCAATTGATCAGTCTCATGTTGGCATATGTGCATCCTCTGCGGACTGCCACGATATAGCCTTAAGTCACAAGGTTTATAAGCAAATATGGATAGTAGCTAACAATGGAATCCGGGACTCGATTCAAGTACATCCAGATGATGAGTCCCAGATAGGACGAAACGCGCGTCAAACTGGATTCCGCTACTAGCCACTATCCATCTTTGCTTAAAAAGTAGTGAAAAATGTTTTAAACACATTCAATATTCTACATAGAGATAAACGGTAGGCTAAAAAAATAAATTTTCAAATTATACACTATTTGTTTTATAAAACTAACCTTTAGTAATCCATTTGAACCATTTAATATGACATTTGGATTTTCCATAAACTTTGATCTGGCCTCTTCATTAGAAAAGTAATAAATTAAATTTTGATGAACAGCTACAATTTCTGGATCACCAGCACGCAATACACCATATTCACGTAATGTTACTGGGCAGAAATAACTTGTTAAACCTAAATTTTTCTGTAAATTTCTACTTGAATCTGATTCCTAAAACACCAATATAGATGAGACTTTTCTTAAATTTAACTTGGAAAAAAAGGAGAAAACAGTTATTTCGCGTATATAAATATAATATCAAAATAACTTTCACCGTATACCGATATCTACTAGAGAACATTTGAAAATTCGAAGTCTCATATTGAGACAACTCAAAAATGTGTATCGTTAGGAAACGAAATTTTGAACCTTATGACCCAACGATGAGTGTAATAACTTGAGATCACTGATTCAGACTGCGAAATTCCATATTTTCCAACCTCAATGTTTTACAAGAAATAAACTGCTGAAAATATCATCCATTGTCTGAAAGCATCTTATTGACTGAAAGCACTGGAGAATCCGGCTTCTTTAATATTTAAAAGCATGAGTAAACACTGATTATTAGACCAGACTCGAAATGAAACGTTTGCCTATTGCTTTCTGATTTTTAACAATGATTTTTAGCTAATCTTTGTTATAAAAATGGTCATCAGAATAGACAATTATCTCTATTTTTGGATAAAACTAGAAGCAGAGGACAGTTGACTGGTTTTAAGCATTTTCAATTTATTATGAAGTACACTGAGACTAACAATTGTCTAATGCTCAAGTTAACTTTACGGATATTGTGTCAAAGGATGTTTTTGTTTGGTAAAATTGTAACCTATATTGAATAAGATGATTGAATCGTGAAATGACTGCGTTAATCCATCACTTATCATGAATAGGCCTGAATCGGTTGAACGAAATATGATTGTGTTGTATGTTACTTATGTCTGTCGACACAAGTAGTAGGTAACATCAACCGTAAGTAGAATGCCTGACAGGAGAACATTGAGAAGATTCAATTGAAGAGAGCAAAAAGTGAAACAAAAAGCAATTTTATTAACAACAGAATTGAAAGAAACATGAAACACGTTCAGGACAATTGAAGGAAGATGTGCAAATGATATATTTAATGTATGGTTATCATATTTGATGAAAGCACTCTGTAGTGTTACTTTAAGAATAAATTGCTGTTCTTCGTCTACCACAGAATGACAAAATAATCCTTCTTTTGTTATCAGAGAAGTGCGTGTAGTGGAAATACTTAGTGATCAAGCCATTTCAACTGAATAGTGGTTAAAATAAACAAGAAACTCACAGGTATGTCTATAAGTAGTCCTAAACTTGTACAAGATGTTCAGTAATTCAATAAATCGTGTGACGTAATTGTGCAGAAAAACTATTTCCTAAATATATTTTTCCTTCATAATGACAATATCATCATCGATACTATTTATTTACTAATGAGATTGTACTCAAATAAGTATATTTACAAATAAATAAATATCAACACATTAAAAAATTATTTAAATTCTTTCAATTACTTCTTCTTCACCCTCTTCCTCTTCTACTTCTTCACCTTCTTCCTTTTGTTCATTCTCTTCTTCACCTTCTTCTATACCTTCTTCATCTATACTAAACTCTTCATCAATTGTTTCTTCAAATGCACCAGCATCTTCTTCTTCCTCTTCATCTAAATCCTCCTGTGTCTTTGCTATCGGTTCTATTTTAAATTGGTCTAATTGAGGTTAATTATTATAAGAAAATTTAAATCATAATTAACCTAGTGATTTATTGATATTCAAGATAAAGAAAGTAAATTTGTTGATCTATATGAACGACAGTACTATAGTATAAGACTGGAATTTATATTTTCTACAAATTTTATATATCACTGTAAAGAAAAAAGATTATTTTCAGTCAAGGCTATTTTAAAGAATCAATTCACTATTCATTATCAATTGAAATCTAGATTCAACTTCAAGATTGGCGTGATATACGAACATAGTCAAATTAAATTTTAGGCGAAGAATATCGGAATTCTTTTCGTACTATTTCTTTATTATCCTTGTCTATTGTTACGCTTCATTTCTAGTCGAGTTGGTCTTTTATATATATATATATATATATATATATATATATATATTCTTAACAAGTATAATATGTGTGATTAGATTGTTCGAAATGTATTGCGCTAATCTATCACATAGTTTTGATAATCTTCGTCATATTATTACACTATTAAAATTTATCAAAGGGACTAATTGCTTTGAAATTTGTTTTGCCATTTTAACCAATAATAAGTTGTCTAGAAATTACTATTCTTAGTTTTTGTATTAAAACAAATGTTTATTTATCGTTTTTGTTCTGTATTTTCTTTACTTTTTTTCAACATTTTTGCACTATTGCTTTTATTTCAAATAAAATTTTGTACATATTCAGGATAACTGTGGTATAACAAAATGAATGAACTTCAAGTAGAAGTTTGTGTTGATGATGTCGTTCAGAAGAACGATGAAAGCTCCATGACCAAACCATCCAGTTCAGATAACCAAACTCCACCAAAAACATTTATTATCACTAAGAGTGCCATTGACTTATAATATTGATTTGCTTTTTCAATCCTTTTATAACATTTAATTATATTTCAAAAAAAGATAATCATATTAGTTATATTTGTTGGTTATAGGCTGTCAAATTTATGCTTAATAAGTAAATTGTAGATTAATTGATACTAATTACTGTTCACTTTGATGTAAACAGATCTAAAAATAATAAGAAAAGATGGATAGTGGCCAGCACTAGAATCCAGGACACACGTTTCGTCCTATTTGGAACCCGTCAGCTGGATATACCTGTATTTTAGAATTAACGTTCACTCCGCGACTTGAACTCAGTACTGCTCGCTTCAAATGCCATCGCGTTATCCACTTAGCTACTGAGTCCTGATAGCCACTTGCTTGTGCTAGCCATTATCCATCTTTGCTTATAATGTTTGTGAATTAAGGTAATATCGAGGCAGTAAGCACAGGATGCATATATGCCAATAAGAGATTGATTAACTGCAGTCTTAAACACCACTGAGAAGATTCAAGTAAACAATACTAAGTGAATTTAGATCTAACATTTAATCAGTGTAAATTATATGAAAGTTCAATGCATTTAAGTATTCATTTTTGATTTATTGTGAATGCTAAATGAATTCTCATTTATCGTTTTTTATGCGTTTACTTGTATCATCAAATCCACAATTTCCAGTAACAAGGACTAATTTATCCGCAGATACAAAAATGTTATATGAATAAAAGATTTTTTATCACTTCTCACCCCCCCCCTATTAAACCAAATACAATAAGTTAAGTAGCATCAGTTAGTTATTTTGTTTCAATCAAATATCGTTTATTATGATATTTAATAAAGTTTGACAAATTAGTTAAACAACTGACCGAATTGTTATTAGAAATAAAGAAATTTTTGATAAGATGAAACTGATATCCACGATTAATTTTAATATTCGTTTATGATTTTAAACCGCTTACAAAAAAATGACGACATTTAACTCTTTTACGTTGTAGCGGTAGATAAATCCCCAAAATAAATAACTCTGTAAGCTTTCGATATTGGATGCTGACCACATTAGTTTGAATGGACTCACCTAGCTGAAGGCGCTCGGTCATGCATCTGTACCAGATCACGAGTGTGAACGCCGTGCTCAACAACCCCTGCAATCACTAGCCAGATTAGATCAGACGATCCTCAATATATTGATTACCTATCAAATATATCCTCGAACCTCCTCGCTTCTGTCTTTTGATTTCACTTGGTGGGTACGCTTCATATTAGAAGGTGTTACTGATTAGAGCGTTGTCAAACTCCGAATACCTGTGGCATCTTCAGCGTCTTATCCATTAATCTAAGAAATTTAGTTTATAAGTAATTTGATCCTAATACATTTACTGATCAGTGTTAAAAACCAACAGAATATTTGCTTTCAGAACCCTTTTTTGTAAAATTATGTAAGAAATAGCTTTTCAAACTAAATCTAAACTACTTATGATCAATTTGGCTAATATAATGAGAGTATTTTCATATATCTATTTATATAAAAACTATCTTATTAATGAGCATGAAGTAACTTGCTCTTCACATTAAATAAATAACATTGGGAAAAGTCTAAGTAGAGAAGGATGGTGGCTAGCAGTGGAATCTAGATTGGGTGTTTTATCCTATTAGGGACTCGTCAGTCGAGCGCACTTACATCCCGGAGTTGATGTTCGTTCCAGGATAATGTAGTGTGCTATTTATGTTGACATAAGTAGTACATGATGTTAGTGGTGAACAGAAGGTCTGGCAGCAGAGAAACAAGAGGATCGAACAGTAAAGAATGGAAACAGAATGCAATTTGTATGAAAATGCAAGAACAATGAAGTCTGAGTCATTTTGAGACAATCGGTGGACATTTTACAAATTAAGCATTTACTTTATGATTGTTAGATTTTATTAGCAAGTCCTGTAATTTGTGTTAAGTACATTCGATTGTTCACTACAGTAATACCGAGGTAATCCGCATAAAATGCACATATGCCAAATAGGGACTGATCAATTGCAGTCCTAAACATCAATGAATAAATCTAAAAAATGAAGTGAAATTAATATTGGATACAGTTTTGTTTCCTCAACAAAATATAATCAGATATCTTCATAAAATAAACTTACTAACTAAACGATCTAAAACTTCTTCTCTCATTTGATCTATTGTCTTATCAGTTATATTCAATTCCATTACATCAACAGGAGCACCTAGCGGTTGAGTTGTACGCTTTAACAAATCAAAACTTTCTGTCCATAATTTTTCTGCCTCTTTAAGTTTCAATAGGGCAGCTTGACCATGACTTCCATTTAGAATAATGGTTTCCTCGGATATTTTAGGTTGTTCATTTTCAAGATCTTCAGTGATTACACTCTCAATATTCTCGGTTAGATCAACTGATTCTATGTCTGAAATGTTTTTTTTGCAAGAATAAAGGATTACATACATTTTATTTCGCATCGAATTAACGGGAAAGTATTGTACGATAATGCTTGTCGATTGCTTAACACCCATCATACTAAAGTGTAAGTGACTTGTAAAAATTATCTTGTTAAATAAACGACTATTTAAAACAATTATGAATGGTAAATATTAAAATAAAACCTAAGAAACTGTTACATAGTAAATAGAATTCCCAACTACAATCTAATTGATATGCTGTCGAGGAAACAGTACTAACCAAATTTATTAAGATACATTCTGATTTCATTTCCTGTTTTCAGTGATAATATATATTTCCCATTGTCTTAGACAAATGGTAAGTAAATTCGAATATTCATACAATCATTTACCTTAAGATCTAAAATAATTTCGTTTCTCTTATTTAACCCAGAATGGTGTGTTGATATATGAGACTGATAAAAATATATATTTCATTCATTGACTTGACAAACATGACATTGATCACCACCCAGTGATCAGTCATTTGTGATTAAATCTCAGTCCTACAGGAGGTCGGTCGCTGCCCGGATAGCTCAGTGGTAACGTCTCTGACTGTGAAGCTGGGTGACACGGGATCGAATCGGCCAGGGAGTACCAGTTCCCCAAGATTACAGGTACACCTTGCTGACGAGTGTCAAGTAGCACGAAACCCGGGTCCGGGGTTTCCTGTCGACTACCTCCAACCACCATCTAATTTCATTCATTGTAAATAATGAAGCAAGAAAGTATTAGTTACAGTAAGCATTCAATTCCGATGTGATGTAATTCATCTTATGGAGTCATTAACATGGAGTTACTCAGTTAGAATCATTTGATTCTTTTAAAATTTAATTATCATATCTTTATCCGGGAAAATAAATTATTTGAGATAGTTAGCATTCAATAAAGTTTCATTGTTTTATAAATGTGGAATTTTACAAATTAGTACCCTATTCTTTTTGAAATACCTGACTCAGAGATATAAAGAATAGAAAATAAATAGTCAATTACGAAACCTAGGTTATTCAAGGTTGCATACTTACTATCTTTATCCACCCAACAATCCTAAACTTTTCATAAATTAGTAGTTAGTGTAATAATTGTCACGGCATGAGTTATTAATGATATATACTGGTAACAAATTTTATCCTGAAATCAAATCACCTAGGGAAATATTAAAAATCATGAAACATTAGACAAATGTTTCATAATAGTCTAGATTCCTTAGTATTGAACAAATCTTGAAAGTAAGGTGATAATCACTAAATGGGAGTGAATTTCAGAAAATCAGATAAGCTGAAAATGTAAGTCATTAGATTTCAGTTTAGTGACCTAAACACATCTATTTTACTGTTGAATCTGATGGTTTTTGGATTTGATCCAGTGTGAGATCTTGAGTTCATAATAGCTTTAAAAATAATCAGTAGTTACTGTAAAACTATTACAAATAAATTAATAACTACAAAATATTTTACAAACCACTGAATTCTTCTATTTTTAATTGAATCCATCGTCGAAGTAAGTACTCTGAATTTATACTTGTATCTTGTAAGTAAACGATTAGATCAGGCAGTAATTCTGGAGCATTCTCCGTGAAACTTCTCCAAACATCTGGACGTGCAGGAAGACCATCAATAATCCACTGACCGTGACTAAAGAATATATGTCATATGAATATGTCATATAAATAATGCTCATCTCAAAATAACTTGAGGTTAATCAGCCAGAAAAAGAAGTTTGAAATCGTTTCAGAATCAAATGATACATGCAAAGTCGAAGCGCATTGTCAACGATAGTAACACTAAAGTTTGTGTTTATATTTAAGAAGCTCCACAAAAGGGATTTTAATTTTTGTGTATCATGATTCCACTTAAAACACTCAGCTTGGCACATGAATGTCTTTACTTTCATATATATTTCAAATAAGTATCAGTCACTTACTTTAATAGAGAAACTGAAGAACTGTTAATTTTTAAACAATAATACCGTTAGGTGTAAAGTCAGAGGTTTGGATGTTCGATTCCTGTGTTCGGTATCGTGGACACGTTCTGCTGAGTAGTCCCATACTAGAACGAAACGGCCGTCCAGTAATTACAGACTTTCAATAGTGGTCTAACACTGATCTATTTGTGATTTCAATCAAAATTATTTTAAATAATAACAATTTAAAAGAAAATCTGTTCTTAACACTAAAAACCATTTAAAGTAATTTAGTTTTACTTACTATGGACCACCTGGATTGTCATTACGTAATTTGGCTTCAGCTTCATCAACTGCGGCACGAACAGCATTTATGTAAAAATCTACTTCAATTTCAATTGACTCTTGTTTAATACTCTGAAGAGCTTCTGCAACACGCTTTTTAACTTCTGGATGATCTTTATCTATTGGTTGAAGTAAATCTATGAAGTGGTTTACAAAAAAATAGCTATTAGGTTGTTACCATATTTTTGTTTATGTTTATGATGAACAAAAACAGTTTTTTTTTTAAAAATGCATTAATTCGAAGTCTGTTTAACTGTTACAATCTGTTAACCTATTCAATGAAGACAAAAATTCTATAGACATTTGCTTTGAATTTTCTAAGATTTCACTTAAGGCCATTTGCAGCTTCTAGAGTAAAGAAAAATACTTATTGAGAGTTAAAATAATAAACAGGATAAGAAAATGGTTTGAAAAAGAAATCTCTTTGATGATCAAATATCATATATGATAACAAAAAGAAAAGAAAAGAATAAATGTACAAATAGTGTTATTTTTATTGAGGAGTGAACATTAAATGGTTTAAAGCATAAGAAATTAATCGAGAATCTCATAGAAAGTATATATGAATTCATTATAATGGAAATTTCCTTGAAAAGCTTGGACTAGATTGTTAGGCAAAACGGTGGATTTACTTGAAATTCTTTCGCTGAGATTTTTCAAATACATTCTTTCTCGTCAATTATGAAAATTGTTCGAATAAAATGATAATTTCAACTTAAAAATGGATTGTAACCAAAATGATATGGAAATAGGTATTAGATTGTGATAAATTTATGTAACTAGAAATTGTTATCTTGGTAAGAGGAGACAATAAATGGGTGTATGTAAGGATACCAGTAATGCATAGAATGTGTTAATACTCTACTCTGAAATGTATTTATTCACCATGTACATATTTCTCAATAAAGCGTTTACCAAGTTTTGAAAAGAGGCTTTATTATTCATATCGATAGATTCCTGTTTCTTTTTAACTATACTAAATAGTGTGATTTAATCCTACTTAAAATAACACTCGTCGAATGGCCAATATATCATATTCTTGAAAACCAAGTTAACCGATGAACGAACACTGAGGTTGTCATATAAGTAAACTTATCCTCTACACCTTTAGTAATGTGAGGTCTGCTGGAGAACATTATTATCAGTGGAGGTACAATGGAATTCCCTATATCGAGCTTGATATCTTATACATTAGGCAACTCACAATCATATTTCGTTGAATTCAATAATGTAATAATGTAAAGGATATATAAAACAAGTCATGTAGTGATATTTAGTGGCCCTATATCTAACTTCAATTAGATCGTATGAATGATTGTTATCGAAATATACATATCGTCAATCCTCGTATATTATTATCGATTTATTTCGCATTAGTGAATAACAGATATAAATATGTCAAATATGAGAATGAAGTTTTGAATGCTTATATTTTGTACACTCATTGATCTGGACACACAATTAGTGGAGCGAAACGAAGAAAGAGAATCATAATGACTCGCGGTGGAGAAAGCGTGTGAGCCAACTCAATTAAGTGTTAATCGATATTTATAGCCGGACAGAAAATAGTTACAGACATGCGATGAGTAGGATAAAAAGTGCACACACATATGCTTACGTAAAAACAATCAACGTTGATAAGCGAATAATTAAAAAGGTCAAAACGTGACTTAAGAAGGATGAATAGATTGGCTTGTCCGGAAGCCAGAATAAGCTATGTCGGTTTACATAGCTACTGACACTACAAATACTCTTGTTTTTAATAAGATTGGATTGGAAGTAATGCTTGACATATTATTGGAATTATTCCCAATAAAAACTACATTCTACATCGTTCCTCGATTAAGTTCATTAACAAAATAACATAACATTATATCCTTTTGTTGTTGAAATATTTGAAGGAACGTTTTTAATGTAGTCATGAAATCATGTAATTCTGCCTAAAACAGTAACTTTCAGACATGTTTATGCATTCTCAGCATGATGGCTCGTTATAAATAGTTCTAAGTTATTGGAAATTTGTTTATTTATTATTATTTACATAAATGAAATACAACACTATTTCTTATTATGATAAAATGTTTTTTTTAGTTTGCACATAGTTTACAACACAAAATTACTTCAGTTAGACAGCCATTGAAACATTGAGCTACGGCTAATGGAATTCAAGATGAATAGTAATGAAACATATATCACTAATGCCACTGGATGGTCGTTGAAGACTATCGTAAACTGATTGAAGTTAGAGATATTGATCAATGGATTCTAATCAAATGATCTGATTAAAGTCTGCCGGCCCTGATCTCTGAAGATTCTAGGTTTGACCCCTAGGTGGATCGAGATTGCCCATATGAAAGGATCAAAGTGTTACATGTTTAATTTAAATGCAAATACTTGAATTGATGGCTCCAATTCATATAACAAAACACGTCTGTCACAGTACTGGAAGAATATTAAAACACTCGACAAATAGCTCTAGGCATCCTAGTTTTATTCATCACGTAATATGCATTGATCATATTTGACTAAATGATCAATCTAATCTTTGAGATACTTTGAAAGACTACTTCACTAAATTCTGACCAACTTTCAGTATCAAAATATATTTTTGCTTATTTTTATCATTACTACTAGTACAACAGTTATGAGTATTATGACAGTATTTTATTTAACTTATAGCACTAACTCATGTGGCTTTCTGTAATGAGATTATTAATTACTAATAATGCTATATCTTTAATCGAACATCACCGGCTATTTTTACTTTAAATTTATTTTTAATATATTTTCTATGAAAACAAAATTTGTATGTATTCTGGCAAAATTATTATTGATATCGTGTATAAAACGAAATTCGTGTAACTTATCATTATTTATGAAGTTGTAGTTTAAATGATGAATTGTTTACCTGACTAACCGATTTCAACAATCAATTCACTTATGTGATCATCACCGAACATATTGTATAATGGTCTCATAAAACCCTAAAACGACTGAGATTGTAAGTATCAAACATGAATGGTGATTCATTGATTTAAACAAATGGAGCACACAGTGAATACTAAAGATCCGAGGCTACAACGCCTTTGTGGTCATGGGTGTCCAAATGGTAGGGAGTACTGTTTTAGAACAAAACATCTATCTGGTGCTACTTAGTTATGAATGGTTGTCTAGCTACAGTCAATTTACAACGTAAACTATTTTCAAACAGTAACCAAGATATTCTCAACCAAATCACAACCATTTGCTCACTAATGTCTATCTTCAACAAGAATTCCTAAACGTCTAATAAAAAGGCGGAATCCATGAAGTTTAAACATTTGCTTATATTTTTACGAATACGTTTTGTAAATTCAATCACTTACATTGTGGAATGTCAGACGATGGTGACTGTTCTTTCTTTTCATTCAATTCACTTGTCTCTATATGAAGAAACAAATTTTATGCAAGTAAATGAAGTAATTTACACAAACTAGTCAATTAATTTATAAATTACGTAATGATTATTGTAGAATCATCAACGAGGAAGAATGTATTTGTAAAATCTTAGCGAATGAATTTGAAGTCAATCCAACGTTTCGCCTGGCAATCTAGTTCAAACTTTTTCGACGAAATATAATCAAACATCAAAATTATCGAATATAAATAGGTACATGGTTCTCTGTTTTACATTGGATTTACTTCAAATTCTTTCGCTGAGATTTTACAAATACATTCTTCCTCTTTAATGTCTCATATTAACTCGGCGCCCAAATACTGTGGAACTATTCAATCAAATTTAGGCGATAACGGTTTCGTACCATGGAATGCATAAATTTAATTACAAATAAACGCTAAAATTCACAATTATGACTTTTCGTTTATTTTTTTTCAACAAAAGGTTAATGTAAATGAGTTATACTTTTATTCTTTTTTGTAAACTAATATTCAAATGTTATGCTAATTATGTATCTTTTTTTTGCACTAAACAAAAGAATTCACTTTTCATTTGTTAATATAATTAACAATAATTATCAATTAAGTATGTAATTGATAACACTAAAGTTTTCACCATCTTATTATTTAATAGTCGAATTCATTAGTCAATTTAAACTAGATCACTATGAAAAACCTATAAGCACTGGACAGTCGTTTCGTTCTAGTATGAAACTCCTCAGCAATGTGTGTTTACGATTCCATTATTATTAAATGATATTAAAATAAGATTTATATATTATTTTTCCATCTGCTCACTTTCTCCTTCCTGTGAATCCTTATCATTAGTGATTTGTTCTTCTGTTTTATTTGTCACTATTTCTTCAGTTATTTCAGTTGTATCCTCAGTCACTTTTTCTAGGGAAAACAAAAATTGTTCAGTTTTAAATGGGTAATATATTTTCGTTAAAGAGATAATAATAAAAAATTATCAAGTTCATCACAAATTAATAAATTTTAATAATACGAATTCTTTTAATGAGGACTACTGAATGTAATCATACTATTGAGTTGACACTTATGTATTAATACAAGAAAAGGTCACCATGAAATTTCAATTTTTGTTATGTTTCCTCTGTATGCATGACTATGACCTACACTGGTATTTCTTGTTAAGTAGTGTAGAGTATATGATTTTAAACTTCATACTAATCGAGTAAATCCATGCAGTAAATGAATATCAGTAGAATCCAAATAATGTTTCAAATGTTCCCTGGTTTACTGGATGCGATTATATGCGGAAGTCGATGGTTAGGTGTAAGGGAAATCAGGTGGCGTGTTTCATTCCATTTTGGACTCGTCATCTGAATTTACCTGCACCCCAATGTTGATGATCACTACAGAATTCGAACCCAGTCCCATTCTCTACAAACGCCATTTCATCATTCGTTAGCTACTGATTACATGTAGCCGCTAGCTTGTGCAATGGAACTAATATGAGACTGATAACTCTGGGCTCCAGGCATATCCAGCTGACGAGTCCCACTTAGAACAAAACATGCATCCTGGGTTCCAACGCTAGATACCATCCATCTTTCTTTATGACGCTTCCAACTTATGGTGGTATCGAGGCAATCTGCATAGGATGAACATATGCCAAAAATAGACTGATCAATTTCAGTCCTAAACATCAATGAAAAGATTCAAACCATCAATACAAAGGAATTTTCAGTGAGATATTTAAAACCAATGATTGCAATCACCAATAATACTGTATGAATTAAATACAGAGATGTATTTTGCTATACAGCTTGTTGCGCCTCAAATGATTAAACTTTATTTTATTCCACATTCCTAATTTTCTGTTTTTCACACATACTTCATGTAGTTAGTTTTGTTGTATTATTTTCGTTCACTTTGCTATTATATGCATATACATTTAAAATGGTAAGTCCCCGGTAACGCGACTTAAATTACTCTACACCAAACTAATCATTTGTAAAAAAGACTCCGTAGTCTTCCTTATAAGTGAGTGTCTGTCCCTTTTGGAAAATCTGTCATTCCAAATTGTCTATGACATGGTAGCTCTGCCACTGTTTAGGTACTTCCGCTCTTCTCACATTGTTTACTAAAGACGACTGTACTTACCAGACTGATGACTGTTAAGGTGTATGTTTCTATGAGATCATTGTACTGCCTAAATCTACCGAGAATACCTCAAAAATATATTCAGAATCCAGGGGAAGGTTTAGAAAATTGACAAATTATATACTACACCATGACTGGATGTTTACTAATTCTGTTTCTAAATTACCAAGCTTCCAGAAGTTTCTATATGTCAAAGATTATCGGTATATTTTTACAAATTATTGTTTTCTGTACGTAAATTAACCCTGAAGTAAAGCTTCTTTTGTTACTTTGCCCCCTTCTTACACTGTACTGGGATCAAGTGTGGCAGAATTACAAGAATCTAGAAAGAGTTCAAGAGGTCATCATCATGTATACAGGCAGCAGATCTATCACTAAAATACTATCAGCAATGCTTAAGTATTTCCTCGCATCAAATGTTTCACATTATTAAGATCTTTTTGACAAGTATTTGATGGATCACTTTTTTTTGCAAATTAAGGTAGTGCATTCCTTTTGTACCAAACCTGATCATGCTTGTAAACTGGCGTTTTTTTGTAATTCTTTAAAAATTAGTTATGCCTTGTTATTGTATCGTTGCTATAAACTTCATTCTTACCTGAGTTTAATGATTGAATTTCTAACTGTTGTTTTTCCGTTATTTCTTTGATTACAATTGCTTCAGTTTTCTCTTGAATTTCTTTCAATTTTCACTTATTCTTATATTATATTCTTCTTGAAGCATTCCAGCTATATCAATTATTTTTGCTCTATATGATTCGGCTAATATATGAATCAGTTCCGTTTTACCAGATGCTTTAGGACCAAGTACAACAACACGAAATGGTGGTCTTGGTTGAGGTGGTAATAAATAAGGTCTTGGATTTTTCATAAATGATGTAAAATTTTCAATATTTGCTAAACAAAATATTTGTCCAAGATAACTAGATATGAAATTATTCAGATAAAAGAAAATTTGAAAATATGATAATATTGAAAGTATTTTAAGAGATTAGCAACTATAATGTTATATATATATATATATATATATATATATATATATATATATATATAATTACTACAAATCTAATCATTGACAATAGTAAGATTGGTCTAATTTTATCAAATACATGAATAAAACTATTTTTTAAATCATAATGTTGTATTGAAAACTTTGCTAAAGAAATATATCAAAATTAAATGGCTACAATAAATGCGATGATAATGTTTTAGCATATAAGTATATAACTGTTGAGCTATTTGAATCTATGATATAAATGTTAAACTGGTCATAAGATTGATCGTAACTTTGCTTTTGTGGTACTGTACAAAAGTATAAAAGGGTGTATACTAAGGTTTATTGAAGCCTTAGCTATACAAAAATTCAAACCCCTTTGTATATACAAAAACGGTTTGTTCTCACCTTAAACCTACCCTGGTAATATTAGCTTATTATCTAGAGTGATGAGGTATCAGATTGTTTCCACATTATTTTCTTTATTATCCTTGTCTTTTCTTACCCTCCATTTTAAATATAAATGTTCTTAACAAGTATACTATGTGTGATCAGATTGTTCGAAATGTATTGTGCTAATCTATCACATAGTTTCGATAATCGTCGTCTTCTTATTATACTATCGAAATTTATCAAAGGGACTAATTGTTTAAAAAAAATTTTGTCACTTCCATATGCTTATAGCCAGAAGAGCATTCGAATTCGAGAAATTAATAACTGTGTCATGAAACAGATTCTAGAATGTAACTGTAAATTAATGTGCCTGACGAAAAATAACATTTATGGATATTCTGTTAACAGTGAATCACCGAAAATTATGCAATCAAACGTATGATCTAATTTTTACTGAACACAGTTCATGTTAATAAAGAGTTATTTTCATATATGACCAGTTGATGTCAGTGAAACTTACCCAACTGTAAATTCTGGTTTTCCCATAGACAGCTGACCTTCATATAATGCTACAGGGCATAAACGTTTCCACGGGCTTTTATGCCAACGAGCCCTTGGACCTGGCATTTTTTTAGTAGCTACTATTCTAAATAACTCTTCAGTATCTATATCTTCAGGTATGACTTCTTCTTCTTCCTCTTCACCTTCCCCAGTTGGACCGAAAAATCTTATTGGTGCTACTGATGGATATAAATTCATACCTTGTAATTTAACCAGTAGATTCTTAAAGGAAAATGAATAGATTATTTAACTCGTAAATATATGAGTCGATAAAAATTTGACTTGTTAAATATATAGAAATTGTTCAAGGATAGTTTTCTTCAAGGAATTTGTTATATCCGATGAGAATAATCAATGGTAACTTTTGGGATTCATTTATGGACTAACACTATACGTATATTTTTATCGTATAATTGTCAAGTAAATAAACTATTCATATTCGTGTTCCTCTTATTATCAGCTTTATTTCGATCTATAAACTGTTATTATAAGATTTACCATTCTTGAGTTACGCCCAGTCTATCAATTACTACCTCCCATATTCACAGCCACTTTTGGCTAAATCTTGTACAAATGCTGTTTCCTATTTTATGGCACGATGTGATTTGTCCGGTTGGTGTATAAACCTAGTATGTTTGAAATAAATGATTCATATCACAGAGGCTGAAATTGGTGTTCTGGACTTAACAGTCAGGGTTAGGCGGGAAGCAGGACCGATAAGAACTCTAGACTGCTCGTGCTTGTTTTATGAGTCATTGGTCCGGTCGATAATTCACTATTTTCTAATTTGCAGTATCATTACGTTATACACTAATACGGATACAGGGCACAAGATATAACAGAATTATGAAACGAAATCCTGAAAATCAAAGAATGGTAGTGCTTACTTCTAGACCCTCTGGGCTGTACATTAATATATAATGGAATCCAGACTATTCAGGTTTTGAAGTACACACATTACCACTAGAAAATGATAATAATCGATATCCAACTCCAGGTAGTGTATTACGTATTTAAAATCTATGAAAATTACTCATTCCTATACTTTTCTTAGTTGATTTCATGGATCATAGTTTATCATTAGAACTACAGAACAAATTTTTTGACAGTGAGTTTAACTAATCATACCTGCATAAGCCATTAAATCATATATGAAATTACTGTTTATTGAAAACATTTGCAGTAGTTATCAACAAACATATTTTAACAAAAAATATCTATACAGTATAGATTATATGGTACAATTTACCTAAACAATATATTATTCAGATCTATAGTAAGGGTGAAATAATAAACAGCAATAGGAAAAAAAATGTTTAAACATCTATTGTAAGTCAAAATGTAAGTGCTTTTGAAATCTTCAAAATTTATAAACATAAGTGATATATGTTTAATCCATAGATCATGAGATTTCTTATACAAAGTCGCAAATAACTAATTACTTTATTATTGTTAATTGTAAAAAAAAACAGATGAATTGTAGTGTCGGTTGCTATGTTAAGCTCATATACCTTATTCTAGCTTCTGAACAGACGGATTAATCCATTCTTCATGAGTCGCGTTTTGACCTTATTAATTATTCACTTATCAGTCCTGACTGTTTTTATATGAGCATATGTGTGTGTACACTTCTTACCCTATTCATCACGTCGGGCTCACCACTTTAGTGGCCCAAAATATGACTCCAGTTATATCGAACAAATAATCGTTATCGAATATTATTGAAATATATATACCGTTCATCCTCGCATAGTTTGTAAGTAGTATGTAGCGGAACTTAGCATAGAATTCGCAACAGTTGTCAAACCATGTGAAGAGTTTCTGTGCATCGAAAATGCACCTTTGGCAGAACACACCAAAAGATGCAAATGGACAATTGAAGACTATTTATATGCTTTCAGTAAATGCCTTGTAAATTCCCGCAACATATACACTTACCTCCTGCCTGTCTCCTTCTACACTATGAATTGATTGGATTTAAACGCGTAAACCACTGGATGCTTGCTGAGTGGTCTAGATGTTGAGCGTTCATAAGAAAGAATAAAAGTTCCGAGATCGATTCTCAAAGTTTGATTGTGGATGCGCACAACTGAGGGGTCTCATATTAAGATGAACTGACTGGTTAGTAATTCCAGGTTATCAATGGTTACCTAACTTAGATTGTTTGATGATCCCAATAGAACATAAGTACCTCCACAACCTGATATTTATTCTTACATATACGTGTACCATCTATCATACCGTGAAAGGTGATGAGAATAGGATAAATTATGAAATGATCCAAATCTCCAGTAGGTAAAGGAAATTTAGATATCTCAATTCAATGCACTGATTCCACCCCTCTATCCACATAGTTGGATCCATAAATAGTAACTCCATACTAGGAAAATCTTCTAAGTACTTACCTGCAACTTGGTCACCAATTGATACAGGACTACTACCTAGTCTGTTGATTTGCGTAGGTTTGTTCGATCCAAAACTAGTTTCCTTTACAATGTTTCATAATTTTCAGTTGTTTTCCTAGCCGATATCGATATCCTATAGAAGTGACCTTTCAACCAGACAAACTAATAATATAAATATTTTCAGTTTGTTGTCCATCATTTTTGACAGATATTCAGTTAAAGTTCTCAGGTTTATTCTGAGAAAAATAAACATTCCAATCACCGTATTCATCCTAGTATTTCTATCAAGACAACTATGTCGTCGGAATATATGTGGTTGTCATTTTCAATTCAAATAAAAAACAACCGCCAGTATCCTAAACACTAAGTATGTATTTGTAATAAGACAAACTGAAAAGAATTTATTTGTTGGATTAGATAATAAAGATAAGAAAATCGAACTGTCTATTTACTTACATAAAACAGTTCAGTTGGGGTTAGATTTCCATCTAATTCAATGACATTGAATGGATTAAACATTTTTATATAAGAAGTTATGTGTGATGCGATATTTTTGTCATGATATTCTAAATCTAATTTCATTTTCTCTGGATTATCTTCCAGTCGGGAAATTAAATATTCTAATTTATTCTTATTTAACTTTTTGAAATCTGGATGACTTTGTCCACTAATTTGATCTTCTTCTTCATTAACTTCTTCCATAGCTTCAACATCTTCAAGTACATTATCTAAACTATCATCTGTATCCTCTTCAGTTTTATTTTGTTTAAATTTCGTTGTTTTGTTTGAAAATTTTTCCTCAGGTTCACAAAACGATTTTAATTCGTCAGTATAATTTTGACTGGAATATACAGTTCCATCTTCCACATCAATTCTCAGTCCTTCACGTCTTCGTATGATATCCTCTTGAGGAATCTACTTGGACAAAAATATGAGTAATAAACATTTATATCAAGTTATACAAAAACTAATTTACTATATATTTTATTTATTCTATTAAAACTATTTGTAAGAGGCTGGAAATAAATTCAACTCCGGTTTGTAATTTGGCAGTCTACTTACCGAGCAATCAGAAAGAAGCAGGAATCATCATTCCACTATCTATGTAAGCAATACCCATTGGCCTGCCTAGTTCTGTGTTTTCTGCTGGCTTTTCCGCGTAGCTGCAAACTTTAATCCTTTAGTGTGCTGAAATTCCGTAATTCATGTGGTCCTCTAAATGTTTGCTCTAACGGTTTTGAATCAGTTTTGTTTCCTCGTTTTTCGCTACCACTAGTCAGGTCAGTGTATTCTTTTCGGTATGCTAACGTGCTTTATGTGATAAAATGTCAATCTGTTTCGTTTTGAATAAACCTTTCTCTATTATTTACTGACAGACTACTTAAAAACAACAAAGGATGTCATCCCAGAATGTAGTGCATGTGTCTAGTGTAACGCAGTGTGACATGGTTAATAAGAATTACAGTCATAGAAAAATTCATGGCATAATCTACTTTTTAATAAAAATTACATCATAAAATGACAAATTCATTGACTACCTGGACATAAACATGATTGTCGTTCCTGCCTACGATTCACTTAGTTGACTTGACGACGTTGAGTATATTTCCACTTTTTGTAAGTCGGTCAATAAAGTTAAAAATCCTATGCAATATTTTAAATCTCATCAATTAGAAATCAGAAACACGTAGCAAAAATAAAGATAACCTTGGAACTGTGAGGACAGCCCGCAGATGAACTCAAGGAAGCTCTAAGAAGCTCAGAAAGAGCCGAAGATATTCCATTCAATCATCTTTTGGGAGAATATTCCAGAATCTCTACGTGTAGTTTCTCTATTGGACAAATGCTAAAAATCCCAGTACATGGATTGGATGAATATAATAATAATTTCGTGTTTACTAAAAACTATAAATATCTGAGACTTTTGTACCACATTTGATATTGTTTGGAATAGTATTCCTTTCACTTATCTTCTGTTTTCTCATTTGTGACTTAGAGGGTTCTACCGTATATTAAGAATCTAAGCTCTAGATATAACAGAAACTCATTTATTATATCTTCGTCTACAAACTTAAAATGTAATATTTAAGCATAAATACTAGTTACACAAAAGATTGTGAAATATCCGGATCATTCTGACCATATAACTTTGAAATTTAGGACTAGTTAAGTAAAATAACAAAAGGAGAACACCTACAAAAAGTTTATGTAATTTAACACGGAATTTAAATGATGTAAAAACAATATCTTGTTTTGACTAATAAATGTTATGAAATTTCACTGAAAATCAAAAGGAAATAGGGAAAGATCTTATCACAACGAAATCAGATCAATAAACGTTTTCTTATTACAAGTCGTTTATAAGCTTTTTAGGACAATGATACAGATATCTTAAACCCTGGCCGACTTACGTTCATCTATTTATGGATGAATCAAAACTATTTGCTAATATTTACCATTTATAAAAATTAAGACTCGTCACAAATGATACGTAACACTGGCGAAGTTAGTCTAGCCACTTCTCTGTTATTTGTTGAAACTAATACACTGTACCCAACCGTTCATAATATAACTTATTGAAGACATTAGAATTTGTACTTTCAATTCCATAGTTCATATTGAGACATTTATCCCAGTTTGTAGGTATCAGTTTCAAGGTTAGACTTGATAGTTTCAAGTAAATTGAGCGTTGAGTAGAAAGTTAATAATAAATAAATGTTTCGTTACATTCCAGTGAGTAGAAAAATTGTATTCCCGACGTTTCGTAACTTAATGTAGACCACTTCTTCAGAGCAAACAATACTCTGAGGAAGTAGCTTACATTAAGTCACTAGACGTCAGAAATACAATTTTCCTACTTATTGAATTCTAACAAAAAATATATTTATTATCACCGTTTATTATTACCGTTTCAGTACGATCTCATTGAAAATTAAAGACTGGATAAAGTATTCTAGATCTTGACTAAACAACAGAAAACATGTTTGTCATTTGACTAAAAAGATCAGTATTTATATCCATTACTATCAGTTATACAGTATCACATAATTCTAAACTAAAAACTTACAATTGTTTAATATTTACCGAACTCTAGTTTTTGAAGTTAACTTCTTTATATCGGCATAGATACTGTTTGAATGTATACAAAAAATATGAACTGTTAAACTCATACAGTAAAAGGGAAGATTTAGTTTTCCATCCGAGTGGTCACTAAGATATTTATGAACAACATGTTTATAAGTCAGATTATTCTTAAATGTTAATTTGGTTTCAGAAGAGCTATCAACAACCCATTTACAGAAATACAATTGATTGCTTAAAATACCATTTCAGTGAGCAAATATTATACTACTTACACATTTTTAAATAGCTTATTTCGTACGCGCTGAATTTTAAATCATATGACTTGGAGATTTATGCGAAGACATTTAATTCACTTCACCATCCAGATCAGTTCTAAGGTTCTATAACCACCTGTATCCAGCATGTGAACATTTTTTTACTGAGCCTTATTACGTGTTGACAGAAGAAATGTTTTTAGTAATATATACCAGTATCCATGATTCAAAAAGAAGAGTTACAATATGTCACCTTAGTATCAACAAACAGAAACATTATGTAACGAAGCTTTTCGGTCTACTGCAAACGTTTTGTCCTGTTGTTAAACAGACTTACCACGTAGTCTCAGCAATTTCGCTGGGCATTACACTCAGGAATTACTCATTGCTTCGATATTTATGTTTACGTAAACAAATTTAGACATACTGTCATTATTTCTAGTAAGTGATAAATATTTTGCCTTCACCATGCCTTAACAAGCCCTAATTATTTCATGCAACCAGTGTTATTGTAGACCTCGAAATCCCTTTTTGACTATATACCACCTCTTTAGAATACATAAGACCATTTTTCCGGCATAACTGTCTTATGGCAGAATGACTCATCAATGAATGAATCATCTTGAACACAAACCCTCAGAATTAACTGTTATCATGAAATACCAAGATGACTGGGAGAATAAATTTCGTGGTGAAGAAGAAGTAGTTCACTTCTTATTTCTAGTTCATCCACTGCTTGCATTCGATTCGAATCTCTGAATGTTTAAACATATACTACAGATGGATAATAACAGAGTTTAAAACTAACGACATGACAATATGTAAAAATATGACTGACCTAAAACATTTGAGCATTTTAGTGATAGAAGAATCAACTGAGTAAGATTTTAGGAATGTGGGGAATATAATGTAGTATCTATAGAAAAACGTGATAAGCTTGTTTGGATTTCAGTGTCCTTTACAAATTATTTACGTCATAGCCTCGTTGCCACTGTTGTATCGGCGGTTCGAACGCTTAAATTTGAAACAGAAACAACCATAATTTTACGACGCAAAGAAAGAAAAATAAAACTGGTACAATAAAGATTGGTCGTCTTTACAAAATTATGTTCCCAAAATACGTCAATAGACCAAAATACATTCATTTCTTTATTTATTTTTCATACATTTAATAACGTGACATATAAAAACACGTTAATTTACCGCAAAAATACATATGCTGCATATAGATTACTCACAATTATACAGAAAAGCTAACTTTTACACTAACCAAAAGTTCACACCCCTCACATTAAATAAATTCCATACCGAATTGATAAAAAAAAAGTTAATCATAAATAATGCCACCTTTTCATTTTTTCATATCATTTTATCTTTCAACCCAACTCGAATGTTTTATTTTTAAAAAAAAGGTTGTATTTGACTGATGACATCTGAATGTACAACACATTTTTATTTTGGGTTTTAATGACGAAAGATTTACTTTTACAAATAAACGCGTGTTGCAAAACTTGTGTTCGGCTTGGAAGACTAAGAACTTTTTGTGGTTTAGTTGATAACGTTTACGCTTTATTCCGTAACTTCGTTTTTGCAACTTTGGCCCTAATGTTTTAAAATTTTGTTGCTAGTTTGTGAAATTACATGAGCATTGAGCTCAAACGTGGGAAGTACTCCACGATTGTACCCCATTTTAGAAGACTTTTGAAATTCCAAATGCCTTGACTACCTTTACAGCCACTTGTCACAATAACACATCTCATGAATAGCTGAAATACTCTTATCGAGGATTCGAAACTTTATCATTGCGCATCATTCAAAATGTTTGTTGCTGTTTCAAGAATACACTGCATTGAAGTCCTTTTTAAACTCTTCAATTTTAATTTTATGGAATAGTAAATTTTTTGTGTTCAGTAGCAAACATATCTAAACAAAGATTCCATGTAATTCGAAAATCCGTTAATTGATTATTTTTCGAATTACACTTACATAGTTAGTCATCGCATACCTATGAGTGAGCATCTTGATACAAGGCCAAACAACTCAAGATACAACAAACCCAAAATTCAACTAGGTTTAACGAAAAAATAAAACTACCGAATAATCTAAACAGAAGTAATAAGTTAAGAATGATGGCTGGTTCGAAATACAAGGTAAAAGCGTTTGGTTAACAATGATTACTATTAATTTTTAAAATATTAGCCCTAGTATCTGGATTCCGTTGCCTTTTATTCACGAATAAATATATTTGTGACTCATTACTTTGCTTTAACAGAAATTTTCTGGCTTCCTAGACTGAAATTATTTGTAGCACTTTATATTTTTCTGTTTTTAATATTAAAGAAAACGCTGAATCGACAGAAAACCAAATCTATACAACAATTAACGTACCAGCCAGGCAAGTTTTGAGCCTTCTGAACCGAGTAGCTCAACAGATGGAGCCTCAGTGATTGTAGAGACAGTTAATAAATTTGTGTTAGTGTGAATACCAACGCTAGAATTCCGACCCGACAATTTCCATACTTCTACAAAACTCCGTTATTTGATCTAACAAGATTTTTCTCGTCAAAAGTGACATACTCGTGCACCTTAGATAATAACCCCTTCTATACTCAGTCACAGCAGACTGGTTGACGCTGAAGAGAGAAGATTCTCATTCAGGATCACTTTTAGTTGAAGGCACAGAACCACCCACTTCAAACATTTCTCAAGTCCTACCAAGCGTTTCGTCTATGCATTTTAACTAACGTCTTTGATTCAAAGTCAAATTTACCTGGAGAACTTCTGGAAATTTTTATCTGTATCCGAATATCAATGATTAAACGTCTCTAAAACGTATCCTGAAAACGTTTGGTATTGCTGTCCCGCTTGTATTTTGCCTAGAGATTTTTCGATGAATAGTGTGGTTGAAAAGGATTGACAAACAAATGCTTGATTTTGTACGCTTCACCTTCAAACCCTTATTGCTGTTTGGATCGGCTGTATGATATTTCAATAAGGATCCCGATTTTACCTGTGTCTGTTGAGCGAAATGGAGAATAATAAATGACCGTTGTACTAAAGCATACAAAGTCAGCGCAAACTGGAGAACTGGTTTTATAAGTTTTATACCCTAACTGTCTTTCTGGAAATATGTTTGAGAACATACACGAAGTGTCCAACGAACAATTTCCAAGTTTGATCAGCAACTAACTGAATGATATACATATTTCTTCCTTGAATGGTAAGCGTGTTTATAAGCTATATCAAATAACAAACTCAGAGTGCTTTATTTCGGAATTCAGTCGCGTTATAACGAAATCAAAGATATTTGAAACAAAGTAAGCTAGAATTTAGAATTTTTATATGAAAACGATTCAAAGGTGTAAAACCATAAATTTTAACACAACTAAATTATGATGAGCTGGGAAATAGCAATTTCATACTAACCTTGATGTGAACAATGAAGTCCGGCTTCAGATTCAGAGATGTAATACAGGCGATTTGATCTTCGATAGTAATTATTGACTCAGAGAAAGCTGGTAAATCATCCAGTACATATCCATAATGAGCACACTCAGGTGACTCAAGTTTCTGCGTAATTAAATTATAAACTAGTTTTTCATCCAAAGGCTGACCACTACCCATTACTTCACTAATAACTTTTCCACTATATGTTGCTCTATCAATATTCTCCGTTATAAGTTCCATTGCTGTAGGATAAACGTTTCTAAATGTTATTTACCGTTAACAAGCTGCAATTTCCATTTTGAGCATAGTCTTTTGGCCAATTCAGTCTTTCCTGAACACGGTTTCCCGAGTATAATGATACACACAGGCTTTTTGTTCAACGCTTGCAATACCGCCTAAAGCATAATTCATAACGATAACATCACGTACACTATTTTCATTATATAAAGTATTATTGTCGTATAATTTTTGAACAAATCGTTTAGAAGTGAGCACATCTTCTGGATAAAACGTAAGCTGTTCGTTCATTTTCAAATATTCAGTGAATTTTTGTCATGGTAAAATGCTCTCAAGGACATTTTCAAGTTAGAAAAAGTAATTACTGAGTAAGTGGACATCATTGATTTCAATCACTTCATTCACTGGGTTGCAATAAAATGATTGCATAACTACAGTATAAATTCCGTATCTGCCGTCTTACGACGGAGTGAAGGTATTTTGACTAGGCAATTCCTTTGTATCTACGGAGAGCGATACACTATATCACGATTTTTAAGTACTCGTGTTTGTTGGCTAACATGGTTCTTAGTCGATCACAATGTTGAGCTATCCCATTTTCGCCGTGAGGTTTCAGTAAGTTCGAATAATATGCTTTGAAGGAGAATTACAGCGATTCATAAATAAGTAAAAAGAAAACTGACGAACTTAAAATCTCGATTTCTGACAATACGATGTAGGAGAGCAGACAAAACATATACATTTCAAAGTCGGGTTTTGCTGCGAAATCGATTTGGATGATAAACTTTTTTAATCTCTCTTTTAGTACGAAATTTAAATCGCTTTCCTACAACTTTGGGACAGTTTTAGAGCCATTACTACTATATATCCTTGGCAAAGTTGACATGCATTAGTTATGTATTTCTTGTAGAGATTAAAACATGGCGGCTGCACAAGCAAAGACGTGCATTTATCTTTCTTCAGTAACCACAGAATGGTCATGAGTAATCATAAATTTAAGGGTTACTAATCCAAAGTTACACATGGCTTTTCGGTCAGTATTTACAGAGATCCTTTCGTTTAAGAAGCCATCGATTGTGAACTGGGTTGTTCCATTACAATTTTCCATAGTCTTATCTCAAGTATTCGTCCCGAGACTAGTCAGTGAAGAAGTCATGGACGGTAATATTTGAAGATACACTCGGAATTTAGGTTTGGGTAAAACCTTCTATGCAATACGAGAAGGCAAGTTGTCGTCAAATTTCCCTAACATGGCCTAACCAAACGTAATCTGGTGCGGATTCTTGATCTAGCGCATTCAGATGACAAGTAAGATGCACAGTGAGGATGTCACAGGTATTCAGTGTTTGACAACGCTTTTACCAGCAACACTTTCTAATATAATTTGTACCCACCAAGAGAAATCAAAAGACAGAGTCGAGGAGATCGGAAGAGTGTATTTGGCGATTACCAATATATTTCGGAATTCTCCGATCTAATCTGGCTAGCGATTGCGGTACATGTTGAGCACAGCGTTACCACACGTGATCTGGTACGGATGCATGGCCGAGCGCCTTCAGCTAGATGAGTCCACTAAAACATATGGTCAGCGTCCAATGTCGAAAACTTAAAGAGCTATTTATTTTGGGGATTTATTTAGGATGCAGTATTTCTCGTACATCCCTTACCAGTAAGAACAACACCTTTTACTGTTTGTCGAATTTATTTTTCGAACCAATGGTGTTTGCGAGGCAGTCTGATGTCCGGTGTGGTGTGATTCTTGAGAGAGTAGTAATGAAGTGAAAAAATTCGGGCACGAACTGGCGTTCTCGGCTTGTAGTAATGTCTCCATAGTGCAGGATTTACTATACACAATAGAATGGAGAGCATCCAACTGACTACGGAAAGGACCTCATCAAATTGAAAGAAACTATTCAAAACGAGCGTCATGAGTAATGAGAAAGTTCAGTGAGCCATTTGTTATGTCTAATTACCATAGATTTCTGGTGGCATACACAGCAGCGTCCTCACTTCACCACTCCTTAATTCATATCAATAAAGCGAAAGTTTTTCTTATGAGATCAGCGTTTGTTTGAACACCTGTATGTGAAATTTTGTGCAATGTATTACAAACAATGGGATGTTTCGTTCATGACGAAGCATCACAAACACCGTAGTTGTCTCACAGTAAATTGCCACAGCCTGTTTTTGTTTGTTTGATTTGTAGTCTGATTCGTCTAGAATACTGGTGACTTCTAGTTGTCAAGATTCTCGAAGAGAGTTCTTGTCTGAATATTAATTAAAAATAAAAGTAAGATGTCCATAGTCGATAAACAGGGTGAACACCAGGCCTTCCACAGCTTCTAGCTTTTTACTCCACGGTTCTCAGCAAATAGGATCTCATAACCAACCGTGAGATTTTTGAAGCATCTCACATATTAAATAATTTGTCGTACTGTTAAGAATCTCGTTTCACTTATACACCATACTAGAAATGTAAATGGCATCATCGAACTTCGTGTTTCTATCAAATAAAATCAAATTTTCGATCGCACCACAGCAACACGTACCCACTGGATGGATCGGTTTAGGCTACAACCCATTCTCTCTAATACATAAAATATTCTTCATATAAGACGTTCTCTATGCATGCTATGATAGCAGGATAATCAAATCACCAGATTAGGGTGAGTGGGGCCAGGAAATCGTTAGGTGGCGTGAATTCAATGAAGGTTAGATTATTCAAGAAGTTATCCCACAACAGTTTAACTCAACTGGATGGAGGCTTTCAGACTGACTCAAAGAGCATACACACTGGGACGACGGATACCACCTATATTCCGTTCATTCATATGACAAATCTCAGTTGATATAGTTCCACAATACTTTATACACTTATATATGTCTTGGTTGGATATTTAAGTTTATGAAGGAATAAAAGACGATATCCAATATACGTAGCCAAACAAACGAACACTGACAATTTTAAATCTGCACTCCATTAACTGAGAAAATCAACATATTAAGTGAAGAACTGAAAGTCAGCTTTTCGGTCTTAATCCCGCTTCAGCCACTAAGTGTTTTTACCAGAGACACAAAAATGGGTCTGACCACTTGGAGTAATCCAGATAGGAGAACTGTCACATGTATTGATTACCACAGTAATCTCGTAGCTTTGTACATGGGACTATTGCTTTGGAATCAGGGTCTTCTAACTCCCACAAGTGGATCCGCCAACCCGGATAAATCGCCAAATATTCGCTTTTCGTCCCTTCGATTTCGCAAACAACACTCCCGCCGCGAGAAGGCAGTGAGTAGGACTTCCCTGGAAAGGATTGTTTAGTGACTTACTTTTATGAAGAGACTGTGATTGGTATAATGGAAACAATTATTATTATAGCCAACTGTACCAGTGGTTGTTTCAATGTTTGTTTAAGTGAACCGAAAAACTCCCGTCATTTGTGGCCTCTCACGAACTTTCGTACCCTCAGTAGACTCGCTTGTAGATTTTAGCACGATCTCGGTATTATTTTGATACCACGAGATCGCCAATAAACACAACTTAACTATGACCTTTAACTGCCTTCTGATTTTTGGCCTACGGAGGGGTCCTACCGGTAACTGGCACGTAGACTCCCTGTGCTGGTGACCATAGTCAACTGCGACTCGACACCTACTACAGTTGTATGCACGTGGCCATGTGAGAGCATTTCGAGAGGGAGAATCGACTCTCCACTCTCAGCCGTACCAAGGCATTTAGATGTCAAATCAACTATCAAATATAAGTTTCCCGTTTTATTCCTCATATTATACTTAATCTTACACTGTTTGGGGAATGATGGAAAAAAGACCAAATACGAATTAATCTCGTAGAATTCATTCCAAACATTCATTTATTTAGATAGATTACAGTACTCGTAACGTGAAGAAAAGGCTTCTTAGCCTGCTCAATTTAATTAAAACGTAATTTGACGCTTGCAGTCATGAGACATGCAAGCAAGAACAGACACAAACTAAACAAAGGCATTTTGGGATTCATATATAACCTCCTCCATGAAAAACAACTACAAATCTTAATCACCATTTTACTTTTGAACCGAAAGATTTTTCACTTGAACAGCTAAGCAGGACTATACAGTTTTCTTAGATGACATAATTCTTCAAAGTAAGAATTAAGCAACTAGTTACAATCAGTTCGATCAAAAACCAAGTATGTGCACGAGTACGGTTTGTGCAAGCTTCCAGAGGCTAGTTTCATTTCATTTGCTAGTAAAAGCTAGACGATAGAGAAAACAACAACACAAATCACTTCAAGTGTAATCGCTCCTCTGCCATCTTATTACTTTTATTCAAATATTAAATCTTTCCAATTACTCATGTAACCTTGACCACACTATGTGTGGATGAGGGTATGTATGAGCCTGCATAATTACTTGCACCTCCTTCATGCTTATATGAGTTCAGTCACGTTTACTCAGAGCAAGTGAGCCCATGTTGATTGCTTTGATTCGAATCTTTTATCGTGTCTGCATTAATGGATTTATTAAATATATGCACCCAAAGGCACTTTATTCACTAACCCAGTGTTAATTGAGGAACTATATTTCATAATTTCTCACAAAGGAAATGGGGTCAACGATGAGCGCTAAACAAACCTGAATTTCACTGGGTGTTTGATGTTTTTTTCATATCTAATAATTATACCACCCTCGCTTCCATAAAAATACACAGATGATAAAATCAAGACCATTGCAGACTCGTATTATATCTTGTATTAAGGACAACTGCTAGTGTAAATACAATGAAATAACTGTAATACTATTGTTAGTTGGTATTCTTAATGTAATAAAAGTAAAATGTGGATTACTGAACAGACGTATATCATATCTTGTGTTTTAACCTAAGTCGACAAACACCTGGTTATATGGCTACAACTATCATTTAACTCCAGTTATATATTGTAAAGCACTACGAAATACCAATTAGAACCAAAAGAAACCTTTTAGAAGATATAACTATCATATATTATTAGTACTGATATAGTACGTGAAGCATCAACCAGACACTATTTAGAATGGTAAAGCACTTGACGATTGTTCATTAAAATGACAAGTTTGATAATATTTTGTGGCCCGAGGATCTGACTCCGATTTAGATCGTACGAATGTTTGTTATCGCCTATTCTCGTATATAATCGTCGACTTAAATTGCGTTAGTCAATAACGGAATTAAATAAGTCAAATAACGGGAATCGACCTGTGCATACATATATTTTGTATATGAAGCGAATGAAACAGAGCAAAGCAAAATGACACACAGGGAAGATGGCTGGGGAGCCAACTCCATTTTAGTCAAGCGTTACTCAATATTTGTAATCAGACAAAATAAAGCTACAGATATGTGATTAATGGGATAAGAAGGGCACACACATATACGCTCATATAAAAACAGTTAAGACTGGTAAGCGAATAATTGACAAGGTCAAAATATGACTTAAGTAGAATGAATAGAATGGAATGTCCGAAAGCTAGAATAAGATATATGGACTTAAAATAATGAATGACACTACAGATTTCGCCAACTGACAATGCGATAGTAATTGAGTGTTGAGTACTTAAAATAACGATAAACAGAACCGGATGAAGATTTATGATAAAAGCAGAAGATTCTAAGCCACTTGGTGTATTTAGAACGATCACATTTGATAGAATTATACAAAGCAAATCTAATTAACTGAGAATGAGTTGTGTGTTTGGTTATTTTGATCGAAAAAATGGTTTACACAATGATCAATCTAATACAGACTTGTAATTTCTTGTGAATGATCTTTTTGGGACAACATATATTATGGAACAACATTGTTTTCAATCAGATCCCCATCAGGCTTACTCTAATATCCATTAATGTCTAAATGCATATATGGAAATATTAGACTAATCAAGACATTTTATGAGTCAGCGATAACAGTGGAATAGACCATATAAATATACAGCAAGTAAAAATTACAAGTTGTTAATGCTATGACAAAAGGTCTAGTCGTGATAAGAATAATAAGGCTTAAGTCAATATTTTATAACAGGAAATAAGTCAACAACTTGGAGATACAGACATTCAAATGAAACTCATTAGAATTACGTGATAAGTACTCAAACAATTATATGTATGAAAAGAGTGAAAATAAACGAACAAAGAGTATGGAAAATAATATGAAAAAACCGTTTGTTACGGCTCATTCAGCCAAGAAAGAAATATAAGGGGTTGCGAATTGCTTATACACACAAAGACTTGGTTTGTTAGCCTAAATTCATATAGATCTACCTATATGACTCGTCGAGATTGAATCCTGTAAGGAACACTAGTAAGAAAACGATAAATCCCTATAAGTGGTTTGTCTACCTATTACGTGACTGTTATCAATTATGTATGACAAAACGCCCGAATCCACATTAAATCACTGCTTGATGGACTGTTTATAAACCAAAAGCCCTAATTTAATCTGTCACACGACCACCACCAACCGAACAGGATAAAACTGATCTACAAATAAACGTTGTTTAACCCTTTTTAAACGACAAAGTTGCTAGCAATGTAACCTATTAGTAGGCCATGTGTATTTCCCGTATATGAACAACTGAGTCACTCTATAAACACTGTGGTAAGACGTTTTGCTTGAACAGTTATGATCGGTAAACTAATATGAGAAAAGTTGGTCAGATAAAATACTCCTTATATGACCCTGGCTGTGTTCATGTACGATATTACTAACTATAATATTTGACAAGTGACATTTTAAACACTGATTAGATCAATACCTGTTTAATACTTAACCTCGACCCCATTCGTTTCGTTTTATAGGGGTAGAATGTTAATAACATACACCGTTAACCAATTTGCACACCAAATGTGTACTTGCTTTCCATTATAAACAACCAAAATATCTTGAAACTGTTTTTGTCCATACAAATGATATTTCGAAAATTCAGAGCTTTTTGCCCGCATACAAGCTATTAAAAAAATCATTTATAGGCAACTACCGCAAATACCTTATACTGTTTCAAGATTTACCCTGGTTGTATTGTTGGGCAAAATCTATAAAAGTTAGTTTTAATTTATTAGTGGAATGGACAAAACAACAGGTTATAAATGAGAAATAAAAATCATTTACTGGCAAACATGAAACAAACTGCAAAAGTGTTTAATTTATATAGATAGAAACTGATGGACAGCAAGATATACAGCAGCTCGATGTGATAATCACAGAAAATTACGAAGATCTACATATCAAATGGCCGACCATACGTACATACTTCCTTTAGACTCAGATATGCCATAATTCTGCTTGGAAACAAAAATATTAAAAAAAACACTTTCTAACATACTGGAGACACAAAATATGCTAAGATACATCATACATTAGCGGAGTACACCTACACTACTTTTCTATTATCAAGACATCCACCTTAATCATAATAGATAGTACTAGAAGCATTTGTAGTATTGTACAAAAGCCTTCAAGGGAGTATCCTAAGATTTATTGAAGCCCTGGCTATATGGAAACTGAAATTCCCTTTAGGTATTCACAAACAATTTGTTCTAACTCTTAGCCTACCCTGATAATACTAATTTATTATTCAGAGTGGTTATCACATTTTTTTGTGTACTTTATTTTTCTTTGTTACGGCTAACCTTTCATCGGTCTACTTGACCTTTTAGTTTTCATATAAAAATATCTTAAAAAGTATATATGTGATCACACTATTCGAAATGTATTACGCAAATATATCAAATAATTTTGATCAGTCAGTCAGTAACAACGTAGAACTTCATACGTACGTACATCAGTTCGAGTTGCCACACCACATTAGCACAGAGATGCAGTGGTCGATTCAAATCCCGTAGTGGTAGAGGTAATAAGAGTATAAGCAGTAATCGGGAAGATTAGTGTTTGGAGATGTTATTTAAAGAGTATAATACAGTGAAATAAATTTGGGAAGAGAAAAAACGAGAGACAAGGAGGAATAAGGAGATCAAAATTTCGGAGAACACACCTGCGCCATTGCAAACGATTTTGAGCCATGTCATTCAGGGTCTCTAACCATCGGTTGCTATCATCTCGCGGTCCCCAACCAGGTAGTCTACACCTACCAACATGACTCAGACCACTTGTCAGTGACTTCATGGACTTGTGCCATGTTTTGGTCTGGCCGCCCCTAGCTTTCTTCCAACCTACTCCTATACCACTGAACATCGCACGTCGAGGCAGTCGGTCGTTGGGCATACGTAACACGTGTCCCAGCCATCTCAACTGATGAAGTTTCACTACGTCATCAATTGATTTGCCATCCTTACCTAGTACCCGTTTCCTAACAACTGCTTTACTTACTCGATGGTCCCACGATATACGAGCAATATTTCGAAGACACCTATGATCAAATACTAGTAACCTACGAATATCCTCTACTCTTACCGGCCATGTTTCACTGCCATAAAGTAGGACGGAACGAACTGCTGCGCAGTAAACCGTCCTTTGGTTGATAGACGGATATCTCGCCTACGCCATAAATGACGCAAGTTGGTAAAAGCTAGTCGAGCCTTCTGTATCCGTGCTGAGATTTCGTCACACACCAGACCACAAGGGCTGATGAGACTTCCAAGATAAGTGAAGCGATCGACAGCTCAATTACTTCACTCCCTATCATTAGTTCGGGTGTCAATGCAACCCAATCCTGAAGCAACATTTTGCATTTCGAGGGAGAGAATCGCATCCCGAACATGCTTGCATTGTTGCTTAGAGTGGTCAGAAGACTCTGCATTTTGTCAGCGTCTTCACCAAATAAAACTATGTCATCAGCATATTCTAAGTCAACAAGTGAACCTCCTGGTAGAAGTTCAACCCCTGGAAATTTAGATGAGGAGAGTGTTATCTCTAAAAGTACGTCGACGACAAAGTTGAACAAGAATGGAGAGAGTGGACAGCCCTGACGAACACCACTTGAGGTAATCAATTCTGATGACAGTTCGCCATAAGCTCTCACTCTACCAGTTGTGTTCGAGTAGAGAGCCTTTATAAGGTTAATGTACTTCTTTGGTACTCCTTTCAGTGACAAACACTGCCATAGAACCTCACGATCAACAGAGTCGAATGCCGCCTTAAGGTCGAGAAATACTACCATTGTGGGGCGTCTGAATGTGTGTCTGTGTTCTAGAACCTGACGTAGTGTGAATATCTGATCTATACAACCACGTCCAGGTCGAAAACCAGCCTGGTTTTCTCTAGTCTGCTCTTCACGAGCTTTGTTAGGCGTCGAAGTATTATTGAAGCTAATATTTTAGACACTATATTAGTCAAACTGATTCCTCTGTGATTGTCACAAGAGGACTTTTGTCCTTTCTTATAGACTGGCACAATCAGTGATTGAGACCAGTCAGATGGGATTACGTCCAGTTCCCAAATTCTACCTAAGACCTCAGTTAATCTCACTGCTAATACTGGACCACCATCCTTAAAAATCTCAGGAGTAAACCTGTCAGGGCCTGCTGCTCTCCCTCGCTTCAGATTTCCTATGGCTTTTTCAACTTCGTAAAGAGCGGAGGACCTACATTAACTTGCCATTCAGGTTGACTGGAGATCGTGGGAAACCGAAGTGTGGCTGAAGGCCAGTTGAACTGATCCCTAAAGTGTTCTGCCCATCGATCCAATCTCCTGGATTGAGAATGAATAATATGTCCATCTTTCTCTGAGATTGTTTCGCTAACAGTCGGTTTCCTTAACAAGTCTGAACAATTGTCTGCTATTACCTATTGCCGCTGCCTTTTCCATCTCTCTTGCTTTCGCTACCCACCACTGTTCACGATCATTGCGTAGACTTCTTGTCAGCTTGCGCTTAAGCTGACTCCGCTCTTCATTATGTTCAGAGCCAGGTGGAATGAGTTTCCGAGCATCTATCAGTGCGATAGATGCTGCTGAGATCCAGTGTTGCTCCCTAACCTTACGGTTTACCTTACTAGCAGATATCACTGCTGTTTCCACAGCTTTTCGGATATCATTCCATGCTGCCTCGGGGTGGGCATCACATACATGGCTGCCTAACTGTTTTCCTAGTTGTTCCTGAAATATACTCTTAGCTTGACTATCATTAAGTAGGGCCCTAAGAGGTTTCCTTGCAGCGTCTTTCCTACGTCCAGTAAGACGCAGACAGATACGCGCTCGTACTAGAGCATGATCTGAATCTAAGCATGTGCTCCAGAATGAGCGACAGTCTTCTGATAAACTTCGTCTTCTCATTGCATTATCGAAAAAGACAAATGAGATAAACGGAAGTCAATTAAAAACAACTTTGGATCCAAAAGATATATCTGAGCTATCATGACAAGAGTTATCATACATATCTCGAAGTGAAGGAGTTGAATGAAAACCCTGGCAAAGATAACATGTTCTATTAACTTTCTTTAAAATTAACTTGCCAATACGAACCATTTTTTCTTAGAGCATAGCACCAGAAGTGTGTTACAGCTGGAAAGCGAACACATGAAACAAGTTTCTTGGTGTTGAATGACATCTTATGATGTAAAAATATACATCTACAACTTCGCGCGGCAGTTAATAAGTAAATACAACCTATTGACTGAGTGGAAATTGCAGAGGATACATTGAAGTTCAAGGTGAACCTCAATACTACTACACTCACAATTACTGAAACACTGTAATAGTGCTGCTTGATCTTGAGAGTCGTGAACCAGTGAACGTAACGCTTGTAAATGGTAATCTTACTTTAACAATCAGTTACGACGACCAATGACAGGTTTTGATTTTCTGCGGTTCTTGGAAGGGATTAAATCATCCAAATCCTCTTGCAATGACGATTTATCTGATGTTTTGTCAACTTCACTTAGAGCATAAGTTGGACATCTACAGACGAGTATGTAAAAACAGGAATTGAGTCTACTACTTATAGCTTTCTAACTTTCTTTTCTTTTCATTCAGAACAGCTGAAAACTTCGAGAGCAGAACAATTTCTTTTTCATCTATCTGAGAAACCACTTCTTCATATTTCTGAAAACCATTAGGACATGATACTTTTTACCTTTACGGACATATCAGCCAAAGACTTTAGCTTCTCGTTTTCTCTCTCGAAACTACTGCAGCATAAAATCGATTCTTTGAGACTATTGGTGATTAGACTCGTTAATTCGCAAAGTGATTCTAATGGATTATATGAAGGTTGTAAGTAAAAAGATCCGAAGATGATCTAGAATATCATTCAGAGTGTACGTTGATACTTTAATGCCTTTCTTAATTTCTTTGGACCATACGAAATTTAAGTTCGCCCCTTCTTCTCTTAAATTAAAGTAGCTAGATGGGTCGGAAGAACTAAAAGACTCTGAGAGATTCTGTGTATATTGGTTACGCGTTTGCTTGACGAGGTCACAAAACTCATCAAGTTTCACACAATCAACTATCACTGGTCAAGACCAAAATTATTAACGAACCTACTGCATGCCACAAGCCGTTTTTAATGGCTGTGATACAAATAGAGTTTTCTTGATGAACAAAGATAACAGTGTAGCCATTAATCTTCGCATCTCCACAAAGCTTGATTTGCATCCCTATCATTCATAAGTAACACCGACCTTCAATCCTAAATAATTGAGGTAAACAAATAATTGGTGAGATGTTCCTTCATCTTTTACATTTCGGTAACGGAATTTCATATTAAACTGTTACTTGAACTGACGATAAATCATAAAGATAACTACTACTAGGTGGGCGAAAATTGGGTGCATCAACAGTATTCTTCGAAAGACATTACTACGTAAAATTATTTAAACAGTGAAGACAACGACAGAAGTTATTCAGATATCTCCATTGTACCTCCAACGTAATGTTAGTTTACTTGGACTGGCCTTGGATATGTTTGTAACAGCTTCCCTAAAAATAGACGTTTAACATTAATGATGACTGTTAGCTTTAAGGCACACCTTAATCATGATGAAAGAGAACTCAGGTACGGTAAACGAATTTGTTATTTCATTCAAAACTACAGAGTACTTACGTAAAATACGTTAAGCATATATTAAATACGTTATTTCAAACTATTCCATCAGTTGTCCTAAACACACTTCATCATTCTTCCGATCCTGTTGTTATCCAGACTGCTCTTTGTTTGTCATCCTGTTTTCTTCAATTGAATCCTCTGCCAGCAGGCATTCCACTTCAAATCGCTGCTTTATACAAATCATGTCTGACAGCATGAGAATCATACACCATCTTATCTCATAATAACAGTTCAACGATCCTCGTCGTGGTCAGAAACAATCAGTTTACTGAACGTCATGAACTGACCCTAGCGGTTGTGTTCACGCTCTGTTTTTTGTACATACTTTTACTAATACGTTCTTGTAATAACGTCGTTTGTGTCGCACGGTCATCGAAGCAGCTATAGTACTTAAATATGGCGAAAGGTCATTCCACGTTAGCACTGCCCCCGTGGTGTGACTGAGTTAGCTCGTTTGTCACACTATTATCGTCCGCTTCGTGTAGGCTTCTAATTTAAAACAGATAACCTACGACAATGATCCACAGTAACATACTTTATTGACCCTTTATCCATAGATTTCTCATCCTATAGACGCTTTTAATTTTTCATTGGAAGACATCTGTGCAAATGTCTTTGTGTGAGGCTTTTTCTTCCTTATGACCAGGACGATATTTTCGTCCAGCTTATGATCAATAGGTTCTTCTTACGCCTGGCAACACCAAGCTGTCTCCTCATTTTTGCAGCTATTTTAATAGCTATCCACATTTTCCGGACAACCTATGTACCCATTTCGATCGAGGCGAAATAGTTTTTCTGGATTAAGACTTTCAACACGTAATCCAGAACCTAAATGGATTATTCGACCAATTCTAGTTGACGACTTTATGGTGAGAATCTTCTTCGTGATGTTGAGTTGCTAAGCACGTAAAAGTGTCCTAGTCTGATCATGGACTTCGGGATTTCTATAGCGGCTTGGGAGTCGTGCACCAAATAACTCGGTCAAGTTTGGAATGACCTATCAATTCAGGGCCACTATATCGCCGTTTTCTACGGACTTCGTTATAAATAAGACAACCTAAAATCCCCTAAGTAGATGATTGAGCAATATTCTTTTCTACCAGCGAATAGACAAAGAAGTTCGCTATGCGATAAAATGAATTAATATATAGAAGAGCTTTCAAATTTAAGAAATGGATAACCGATTCGGAAGAAGTAAAAGCCTTTTTGCCTGATGTATATAAGGAAGAGTCTTCTATGGATATGGCAACAAGTTATAATACCACTTATTAAACTTATTATGACATGTATATTCAATGGTTTTTGTGACAACAAAATAAAGATCACATTTTTATTTGTTTGTCACACCTTATATGTAATCACATCTATATCCAATATCAATTGTTTCCCTGTATCAATGGTAAAGAAACGGACATAATTGTTCAGTTTTATATACACACATTACCGCAATTTTCTGAAAAATAAACTCTATATACGCTGTCTGGTCTTCTGCTTTATTAGCTCGTTAATTGAAGATTATCATAGGCCCTCCCACAATACGTTGGAGATTCGTCCCGGATTATTATTAAATAATACGTTGTGTGTCAGTTAGTTTATGTTGCGGTGTCTCGAGGAATTCAGAAGGGGTTCTATGAACCCGATGAGAAGATGGAACTTCATTATTTCAGTGATGTGTCTGAAATTTGGCATGGAGCAGTTGCCCACGGGTTAGTTATTTTCAGAAACCACCGTATTGTGTTTTGTTGTATACTTTGTCACGCACCGACCACCTGTCAAACATATCTTTGAACCTCTTCATTCCTTACTTCTGTTTCAGTTGATTTTGAGATCCTAGATTAAAGACACTGAAGACTGCAGTGCAGGTGATCTGTTTGAATTTTCTGGGTCCACTCCATAAATCACTAACGTTGTTGATTTCTGTCGAATGCTTGGTGGCCTACTCGAGTTAGACTGGACTGGTGTAACCGACAGCAAACGTAGGAGTCACGCCGTGCAGTCAGCACCTAACGTGGATTACTCCTTCGTTGTATCAACGTATTATGGATCCTTTGAAGACCGTAAAACACAAATTAAGTTATTAAGGAAATATATATTAGTAAGAGAGAGTACAGAAAAGGCTGTGAGACCACCACCGCATGGGCCAGTCCATGGCATACGATTAATTGTTACTTCTTGGCTGTCCTTGAGTTTGACAGGGACTGATGATCTTTTTGACATTCAGTGACCCAACTACCGGATGACATTTCATTGACCCTACAACTCGACTTGGAAGGGAAATGTACAACTGTACGACCATTGGCCTTTCTTTAACTTATCCACTTGTATAACAACTGATGAACTATAAGGAAATTGGACTTAGTAGTCATACCTTTATTTTTAAAACCTAAATGACTTTAATTCACCAGTCATCAACCCTGTCTTTTCTGCTAACAGTTCTTTTCTTTTTTCAGAACCGTCGAGACGCAACGCCTAAAACGCATCAGTGAAACAGATAAAATCGTCCTACGTCTTTTCTAATACCTACGATATTTCAGAAGGATTTATAACTATCTCTACTAGGGGCCTGTTAAATTTGTTATCTGGCAACAATATCAAGATGACTCAAGTAATACAATGAAGTTGAAGTTTCTGATCTACCGATTAGGCATCCAACGCACATTCATATATGGACAACTCTAGACTTTTCTTGGATTAAGTTCCAACCACCAGTTGTTCGTCACAATACAGCTTCCATAATGGGAAACAACTTTTAGAATGAATACTTGAGTCTTAAGTGAATAGATTTATGTTCGTGTTTCATTGACCACTGTGTCTTTGATCATATCAGCCTAAACGAGCAGCTTATTACGGTGAATCCTGTTGCATTTTTAACACATCGATATTACCATTAAACTGACATGCATCACGTAATATATTGTCATCTGAGAATAAATTATTATTATCGAAACTTAACATGTACGAATCTTGTATGACATCCGTATACTATGTTACTATGATGACTACATTGAATTAAGTCATATTATTAAGAATCGTATTGATAAGATCAGATAAATACAGAGTGCAAAAGCTGTTGCTCGGTCCAGTCCATGAAATCCAACTGACTTATCCAAGCTAATCGTTTGCGACCTATATGGTAATCAACCGGATGGCTAACTATCAGTGATAATATAGTTTAACAAGTAAATGGTTTAGCCAGTATTGTTTTGCCGGTATTTTAGGCTGGTGAGTCGATAAAACGAAGAAGCCAAAAATTCTTTCCCTCGGTAATGTTGATTCACCATTCCTTCCACACAAACTGAGTACAGTCATTTTTGTTTTATTCTAAGAGAGGTGTTCACCACCTTGTCGGATCAATTGTCTGGTTGTACTCCCAATATAGCTTTCTCCACAGGAGCAGCTGAATTTGTAGATACAGATAAATGTGACAGAACCATGTAACTTGTACCTTAGTTGTGGAATCACCATAGGTCGGGTCGAGAACGATGGACAGTGGTTAGCTGCATCAAACGTTCTCTTCACTGGTTTGATTAGTCTATCCTGTAGTACATCACCAGACATATCACCGTTGATTTGTAGCTTCAGGAAGATGTGTTTCCTACTAGCCGTGGACTTTGTTATTTTTCTGTTTATTACATGCAAACGTTTCCACAGAAAACATTGTAAATAACATATTTCAGTCAACATTTTATGGATAAGCTCTAGTTCCTTGTTAACAATGTCGTCTGAGCATATCTTTTAAGCTCTATTTGCAGGACATCTGATTAGGTTTCTCTTGTAATGAATGTATACACAGCTGATGAAATGTGTGTGTTGGCTTGCTGAAGAGCTTTTCTTATACACATTTTTACTGTTAGAACCACTTTCTTTTCTGTTCAACAAAACGTTTATGAGATGTAGATTGTGATCGAGTTGCTCTTCACATGCAAATGTGGTTGCAAAACTTTTGTTGTTAAAAAGCACTAAGAGTTCTTTTTTCCTAATGTTCAGATCAACGATAATGAAAGTGTCAACAATGTAACAGTAATAAAAAGTTTATTAATTTTTTATATGCATGTAAATTTTACTGTATCTTAGAGTAAAGCCTGACGAGGATTTAAATAAAAACGATATTGTTGGCTTGTGCATGTTGTTCTAATTATTAGTAACAGCACATGGCAGTCTCGGTAGCTATTAAAAGCATCCATTGACTTTCCCGCGATGGTCATATAACGAACTTATACACAGAAGACCTCAGCAAGCTAATAGACTATCAAAGAACAAAATATATTTACTTACATGAGAAGTAATGTATCCCTAACGAATAAGGGAAGTTATTTTGCCATCTACCGTTTAAACGACTCAAGCACTAGAAATCAGACAGTCGATAATTTGAATAGACCTTGTACTAACGTATTATGAAACATGTAATTTAATAATTAGGAAACACGAATTTAGTTGCTTGTCGAGAGAAAAGTATTTCAAACAGGCAAATAACTCAATTCTATCATAAATAAATATCCACGCATGCAAAAAGGATTTCACATACGACAGTTTTTAATTTCTACTCTTTTTCACCTCCATGCCTGACTCCGATATTTATTCGTTCCCAATTTAATATATAAGCAGATGACTTATTATTCAATCTTAGACTCAATAAGGCGGACAACCGGATCTGAAATGTCACACACAGATTGTTATGG